TTAGCGAAGAGGATTTACCCACAAGCGGACAATCGGTCTACCTCGGGACAATGGCTTTACTGGTCGTCTGTCGGTTTAAAGCTGTCGGGCGGGCAACTCTTTAGATTCCATGAACTTTCGTGTCTAGCAACATCCGTTCTCTTCCATTATTTGTCGCCTCCCTTTGGTGGGAGGTAGCTTTTTGGTGCTTTGGTTTTCGTCTAGGCCAGGATCCTCATATAGGGTAGTGTGGGAATGCACGTACTCGTTTTAGAGCGTGACGCTAGAAATCAATATTGTCATATGTGGACATCAATAGCTAGTAATTGCCAGGCAATTATTCACATAAACTCTTCAGTGTATCACTGGACTACACCGCGGGGAGTAATCATCCTGTCCCAGCGCAAGCATTGATCTAAACCCAGGAACCAGCGATGGAACATTTGTCTCGTTCCATTACATATTGAACAATGCATTCCGGGTGTCAAAATCTCCAGTGCCTTCCCCCGCCACTACGAAAGGTAATTGGCAGCTTTTGCGTTCACCTTGGAGCAGCCGATTTTTACCATGTACTCTAGAGGTGAATTGCTCCAGACATGGTCTTGGAATGCATTGCTCGGCGGGCTCACTCTTTTTGCTAGGTGCGCTCACGCACCACCAGGTACCTGGATATTAGGCTATATATTATAATATACTATTATATATTTTATAGTAAGTAAATATATTCTGTTATAGATTATCTCTTTAAAATATGCGAAGAGTTTAAATATAATAAATACTTACCTACTAAGGGGGGTGAGCGCACCTAGGAAAAAGAGTGAGCCCGCCGAGCAATTCACGTCTTGGATGAGAAACATGCTGAAGCTCAGCACCCAAAATGGATAAAAGCGGGTCTGCTGCACTCAACGCGTCCAACTCCTGGATGACAGACGCGACAACTTTTCTAAAGGTGACACGAACAATCTGAACGTCACAAATGGGAACCGGTTCGGGACCATACCATTTGCCAACAAGGCCATGTGCAGTGAGCCATGGCTCCGAAACCAAAGTCTGCAGAGAAGAAACAGCAGTCATTGATCTCCTTTTTCACCCCCAAAGCCGTCGATGGACTTGCTGTTCACCCCAAGCCGCGGACTGAAGCTCGAGCAGCAGACGCTGCCGTGAACCATGACGCCGAGTCTCCTTCTCGCAAGCGACCCCTTGAGGAGAACACCGACAACGGAAATGAAGGGCCGGAGAGGTCGTCGAAAAGGCCCAGAGACGACGAGAATGATGTCAATGGAGAGAAAAGCGCATTCATCGCCACGCGCAAGCCGACAAATTCCTCGGGTGCTGTAGCGGCACCCCGGGCTGGTCGCTATCTGTACGACGGCTCAAGAACTAAGCCTGCGACTGAATCGACACGAGATGATGACTATGAGGATGACCAAGTAAGAGATAGGAATCAAGATCTACATCGGCGATTTGTAAAGAAACTGGGTCATCCTGATGCCATGGCTTGGAGGTCAAGGGTGGCTCAAGATGATGGGGCCACAGGAGGCGAGGATGGCGATGCAGAAGATGCGGACGAAGACGAATCACCAGCGCCTGCAAAGGCAAAGAAGAAGGGCGCAAAGAGCGGCAAACTCACGCCCATGGAGATTCAATTCCTAGACATCAAGAGAAAGCATCTGGATACGATTCTAATTGTCGAAGTCGGCTACAAGTTTCGATTCTTCGGAGAGGATGCCAGAACCGCGGCAAAGGAACTTGGCATTGTTTGCATACCTGGCAAAATGCGATATGATGAGCGTATGTACCAGGAATTATTGAAAGTCCCCGTGTGATCTTTTACCAACACCTTCGCAGACCCTTCCGAAGCACACCTCGATCGTTTCGCCTCAGCAAGCGTCCCCGTCCACAGACTCTCTGTTCACGCGAAGCGGCTCGTAGCAGCAGGACACAAAGTTGGCGTGGTTCGACAAATAGAAACAGCTGCCCTGAAAAAAGCAGGCGACAATCGCAACACCCCATTCGTCCGAAAGCTGACCAATGTCTACACAAAAGGAACATATATTGACGAAGTTGGCGAGCTGGATCAACGAGCCGAAGGAGCGCCGGCCGGCGGCTATTTGCTTTGCATAACAGAGACCAAATCCAAAGGAAGCGGAACTGATGAAAAAGTAGACGTCGGCATACTAGCAGTCCAACCCGCAACTGGCGACATCATCCACGACAACTTCGAAGATGGATTCATGAGAAGCGAGATCGAAACGAGGCTGCTGCACATCTCACCCTGTGAGTTCCTCATAGTGGGCGATCTCACCAAGGGAACCGACAAACTGGTTCAGCACCTATCAGGAAGCAGCACCAATGTCTTCGGCGACCGAAGTCGAGTAGAGCGGGTGCCTCGGCCACCCACAATGGCGGCAGAAGCCTACTCGCACGTCACGCAATTCTATGCCGACAAGCTCAAGGACACGTCGCAAAACGAGACCGCTAGTGCTCTACTTGACAAGGTGCTCAAGCTTCCCGAGCCAGTCACGATATGCTTGTCAGCCATGATCAACCACCTCAAGGAGTACGGGCTGGAACACATTTTTGATCTTACCAAGTATTTCCAGAGCTTCACTACCCGGTCACACATGCTCGTCAACGGCACCACCCTCGAGAGCCTCGAGGTCTACCGCAACTCCACGGACCACGCAGAAAGAGGCAGTCTCTTCTGGGCTCTAGACAAGACGCTCACCCGCTTCGGGCAGCGTCTTCTCCGAAAATGGGTCGGCCGTCCCCTGCTAGACCAAGATCGTCTCGACGAGAGACTCGCTGCTGTCGAGGAACTCCTCAACAAGCAATCCACAGCGCCGGTTGACGATCTCGAGAAACTCCTTGCCACAACCAAGACGGACCTCGAGCGCAGTCTCATTCGCATCTACTACGGGAAATGCACGCGTCCCGAACTCCTTTCCGTCCTGCACACCCTCCAAAAGATTGCCACGCACTACTCCTCCATCAAATCACCCTCCGGCAACCCCTTTTCGTCTCCTCTCCTCGCGACCTCCATCAACGCACTTCCCCAAATTCTCAACACAGTCGTGTCTTACCTCGAGAGAATCAACCTCGAAGCCGCTCGCAAGGACGACAAGTATGCCTTCTTCAGAGAAGACTATCAAACCGAAGACATTCAAGACCAGCAGATGGGCATTGCACACGTAGAGCATGAACTAGGCGAACATCTCAAAGTGGCCGCGGCGAAGCTGAAAAAGAAAAAGGTCGACTACGTGACAGTGGCAGGCATAGAATTCCTCATTGAAGTCCCCAACAGCGACATCAAAAATGTCCCTGCATCATGGAGCAAAATCTCGGGCACCAAGAAAGTATCTCGTTTCCATACCCCTGAAGTAATGCGCATGATTAGCGAGCGAGATCAACACCGCGAAGCTCTCGCTGCCGCTTGCGACAAGGCATTCAAGGATTTACTCGCAGAGATATCATCCGACTACCAGCCGCTTCGTGATGCCGTTTCATCACTCGCGTCACTCGATTGTCTCCTTTCCTTATCCAAGGTCGCCGCTCAGCCAGGATACAATAAACCAACCTTCTTACCATCCTCATCCGAGCCTACAGTGGCCATTACCCAAGGTCGGCATCCCATTGCAGAACATACTATCGAATCGGGCTACATCCCATTCAGCACCACCCTCGCCCATCCCTCGCCCCTCGCACACCTCATCACAGGTCCCAACATGGGCGGCAAATCATCCTACGTCCGCGCCCTCGCCCTCATCGTGCTCCTCGCACAGATCGGATCCTTCGTCCCCGCAGATGCCATCTCCCTCACGCTCTGTGATGCAATTCACACTCGTACCGGCGCAAGGGATAACCTCTTTGCAGGGGAATCTACATTCATGGTGGAAGTATCTGAAACAGCACGAATATTACGCTCTGCCACTCCACGGAGCCTGGTTATTCTCGACGAGCTTGGTCGCGGGACCAGCACTCACGATGGTGCCGCCATTGCTCAAGCAGTTTTGGAGCATGTAGCAACTGAGACGCGTTGCCTCACGCTATTCATCACGCATTACCAAAACCTGGCTAGAGTGGTGGAAGGCCTGCCTGGTGTTAGTAACCTGCACATGAGATTTAAAGCTGGCAAGGGGCCTGATGGTGATGAGGAGATTACGTTTCTCTATGAAGTGGGCGAAGGGGTTGCTCATCGATCCTATGGGTTGAATGTTGCGCGTCTTGCGCGGATCCCCAAAAAGGTCATTGATGTGGCGGCCAATAAATCTGGTGAGATGGAACTGGATATGAGGATGCGGCGCCTTAAAGGGGCCAGCCGAATGCTAGCTGAAGTAATGAGCGATGGACCAGATCAGCTAGAGCATTTGATGGCGAGTATTGAGCAGTTGTGAAGCATCACTGTGCGTGCAGATGTCGGAACTTGCAAGGCGGTTGCGGTATATAATTGTGAGCTATTCCGTCTTTTGACCTATATATGCCCTTGAAGCAGGTGCATCAATAGTAGTAGTATTGAGATCATAGAACTCCTAATGAAAGACAAGTGATAGCATCACTTGAGTGCAGACATTACCATGTATCTCCCAATTCAGGAGGTGTGCCCTCCTAGACTGTGTTTATACTTTATTTCCGCCGTTCACCCCTTTGACATATCGATATGATGCGTATTAACCTCATGCAGTAACCCAGAAATTGACGTGGTATCGAGATTGAATAAGGATTTGAAAAGAGCGACGGCACAAGAGGACTTCAGACTTCATTCAGCGCGGAGACGCCGTATAAGCCGGTAAGATAGTATGAATGCCGCTGTTGATATGGATGGATACCCCATAATGAATTGGTGAACGTCCCGTGCATTAATTTTCGCCGCTTTATATAACAGTGCATTTCTCTGGAGAAGACCAGTAAAAAACCCAAGAACCGAAATGTATGTCCATGATACCGTAAAATTGATGCTCGACCCAGTTTCATCCATAAGATAATGATGCTGCACGCATTGGTGATGCATATTCGTGCGTCGCTCACAAGTCCAACGTCTCGGTACTCGCCCATACTTCATTTTCTGTGAAGCTAGTTTGCTTACACTCTCCGGTTGCGACGTTGGCCATCATATCGCTGTAATGGCTCTCCATTTTGATGCTGCAACTCGTGGTGGCGTGGTCTTCTTGGTTGTTCGCTGCTGCTTGATTGTAATCGCTGCTGCGACTTATTGGTTGTAAACTGAAAGAAGAGAGTGTTTGAGATGGCCCTGTAGAACTGTATGAGCCGAAAACCGGTCGATCCTGAGCGAAAAGCGGATTTGATTCAGAGATATGCAGGTATTGGGGGTTTCCGGTCCCATTAACCATCTCCCCATGTCCAGGGCTTTGATGCCGTTCCGGTTTCGGTTGAAGGAGACTGTTCGAATTGAAGCGAAACATGTAGTTCCCCGAACTACCGACGTTATTGCAAGATAAAAATGGCAGCCTGGAGGAATAGTTGTATATCGACGGGTCGTTCATGGTAAAAGATGTGGCTTCGGGTTGGCCAACTGAAACTATTGAATGTTAATAGATGGCAAGTAATTGAAAAAAAAAAAAAACGACATGGAAACCCACCAAAGTTCGTGTGTCCACCATAGTTCTCATAAACACTCCCTTGTATCCTCGGGCGCTGTATATTTCTTGCTGGAAATAGGCGAGATGATACGTCCCTTGACGAAGGCGTCGGGGATATGAGCGGCGAGTGAGACACACGGTCATGGGGAAACAAGCCGATTCGATTGCGTATGTCAGGTCTACCAATTCTAAGTATAAAAAACATCAAGCAGAATATTGATTGTCTGTACCTTTGGTCCTGGCGTGACGGGGTTGTGAACATGCGATCACCGTAGAGTCCTGAACACTCAGCAGCTGCAAAGTTTCGATTTTTAGGGAGGCTTACCAGAAACTCCATCATCATCGTTGTCGCGGAAGACATCGTTTCCATGTCTAAGCGAGGTCGTGTTTGCAGCAATCGGCAAGATACTGTCACCGTTGCTTTCTTCTGGAGACGCCTTGACTTTGGATTGACCATTTCGACGGCCAGGCCGTCTGCTAGCACGGCGAGGCACGTTGACTGATATTTCGGCGAGAGCTTGTGACCGCTTTCGTTTAGGTCTTACCGTCTTTTTAGGGGTCTTGAACTGTTAGTACCATGTATGGCGACGACGTGGGGTCTGTTGCGTGAATAGAAGACTACCTCTTCCTCCTGACCAGGAATAGGTGAGGAACTGCCATAGACCCCCTTAACCCTCTCGACCTCTAGATCTGGCGTCATGACAACCTGGGTAGGTTCAATTCCCTCGGAAATATGTTTCATCTTCTCAATTACCGAATTGGGTTTACGTTGATTTCGAGTTCGTTTCATATCGTCATTTGCAAGGTCCATTTTGCCCATGCCCGGCCAAACTTGGCCCTTGAGTGACAGCATGTCACCGCTGGCAAACTCTTCATCCACCTCCGCATCAATTTCAGAGGGGAAAAATCCAGGAAAGAGAGGATAATCTTGGGTCATATCGTCTTGTTCAGCTTTCACCTTCGTCTTGTTGGAGCCTCGCTTGGACTTCCGTCTAGACTAATCACTGGGTCAGTGCTTCTGCTCAATACACAGTGCGACAACGACAGTTACTAACCTTCAATATCACTGATGGAGTTGAATCTCGAGTGCGGCTGGTCTTTGCTGCTTCTTTCTTCTGCTTTGCCTTCATTCTCTCCACAAGAAGCGCCTCGATTCCATTAGCTTTGTACCAACTTTCATACTGCTGCAAGGTCATAGATGCCGCGATATCCTGGTGGGACTTGAGTTTGGTTTGTGTCTCATGGTGCAGATGTCCCTTGGAGGCGATGTGTGTGAGTAAATGCGATACGTCCGAGAAGCGGGGTGCCTCTGGGCAAACTGTGCAAAGGAGCGGGATGTTCTTGTTAATTGAAACCGGTGTACAATCTCTCGTGGACTCGAGAGAGGACTCCATATCCTAGGTGTGAAAAGTTAGACTTGAACAAATCCGAGGTGGCAAGAGAATCATGACATGCCGGGCCCGAAGTCGGCACCAACGATGCAATCCCCGGCTTCAACCCTTGACAGGAGTGTTCAGTACTGAAGTCAGGTGTGGTTCAATGAACAAGAAAGCAGCAACCAAAAGGACGTGCAGCCCAATCTGAATTACAGGAGCAAAGAAGCAATAGGTGATAGCGGAATTGAGAAAAGAGCAAGTGGAGAGACCTGAGGTACAGAGAGATGTTCTGACACAGGCAGGGAAGAGTAAAGTAAACAACGAGCCAAACATGACAACCAGTCCGTAGCGGAAGCGAAGGTGGTTGTGGGCAGGAAATATCATGGTATGCTCTTACCGTTTGCATGAATGCCATAATTGGCACTCTGGGGTTTCCATCCATGGCAAACCCAGAGGAGGAAGTTGCGATCCGATAGCGCGAGGTTACCCCTACGGTTGGGGTTTGGAAGTTCCAATATGGCGGGAGTTGATGCCAAACATATCAAGTAGAAGCTTATAGGACCTTATTTGATGGAGAATAACTGCGCAATGTGAAGGAGCAGGATAGTGTGACCCGTGGACAAGGTGGCGAGCAATTTGAGGTCAATTGTAGAAGGGTGTCAAAGAGTGGTGGTTGGTAGAACTGTGTCGAGAGGCTCATGCCCTAACATTCATGTTGAATGACCTGCTCCTTCCCTATCGGCCTTCCTAAGTGTTTACCAGTTCAATGACATGATTTGCCAGCTGGCAAAATGTATGGTACATCTGCGCGGAGACACTCGGGCGAGGCATCACGAGGTGAACTGAGAACGAATCAGCTTAACGTTTAGACGAGATATAGCCACATCTGACCAAAAACAAGAACAGCTCTCCAAAATTCGATATCATAGTCGGTAAATTTCACATCGTCAACATTTTTATTGGGGCTGGCTTCGGTTGGCCTTGGCATTCAGCCGGGCACACTTGCCCGCGAAAAGAGTAAGACAAAGATGGTAGGTTTCTCACAAGGCTCTTTTCCTGAATAGCACGAAGTGTTTAAAAAGTAGACGTGATGGAATACTAAGATGTGACTGAAGTTTTATTTCTTGTCTTCTTCGTAGTCTGGACTGGGTGCACCAGCTTGCAGTGCCCCCAAGGCTCCAGCTATTTATCTAGCTAGGCAATTAGTAGACCTGTACGTGCTACCTACAGTTCGTCACCTAAGGTTTGATTGAATCTACGCCATGGCGCATGTCTGAAGGACTTTACGGGGCAATCTCCATGGGGAGGGGATATGCCCCTGAAAAAACCAACATATTTCATTCTCCTCTCGCCTTGTATCCTAGCTATCACGGGGAAGTGTCTTTAGCAGGTTATTAGATGGCAAGAGGGCGAGACGCGGCAATAGTTGAGAATCATGACCGGCTGTCGTTGTTTGTTTGTGGAGGGTGGAGGGTGGAGGGCTTGAACCAGCGACCTCATCTATTAGACCCAACGCATTTTGCAACAATAGCCTCGGGCATGCAGTATACCGGGTTCACCGGCACCATCCCAGGGTATTGCAAGAGACTGAGGCCGGCAAGGCCGAAACATGTGTGCCAAACATCTACCATATCACCAGGGCGATCCGAAAGGCCGCCATTTTCGGAATCCTGGCTGCTCAAGATGAAGGTAATGAGGGCATCACGGTCGATCCAATGTGTCCGCTTGAGGATAGCTAGACTGGCTAGAACCCACCAACTGTAACAGACATCTTCCTTCTTTTCAGGGCGGCCGTTAAAACCGCCGCTCGGGGTCTGTCGCTCGCTAAGCCAGCTTCCGAGCTTCTCCTCATCTACCACGTCCAGCCTATTGGCAATGCTCAGAGCAGCCAGGCAGGTCAGGATTTGGCCCGAATGCGACTCCGCACCAGGCTTTGCGCCGTATCCGCCATCAAAATTCGCACAGCTTTGAATGTGTGACACCGCCTTGTCTAGATTGATACGAGATAGGGCACCGAGGAGCGATAGCGCGTTCAACGCACCGTAGAGAAATCGGGTGTCCTCCTCACCCCACTCATCGCCATAAAAGCTGCCGGTATTGGAATCCTGCAAGTCTGCAATATCTGTTCTCACGTTAGAGCGATACCTAGACACTCGAGGCTTTGGGGTCACTTACACTTTTCAACCTTGGCTTTGCCATGTCCCCGCGCATCGAGATCATCCAAGGCGTCGACCATTGCTAAAATCTGCACAGCACTTACTGTGGACAGCATATGAGCATCATGTCCTGGTGCGGCGCCAAATCCCCCATTTTCGTGTTGGCATGAGAACACAAAATCAATCGTTTCTTGCCGGGGGAGGGCGTCGGGTTGTCCAAGCAGGTGAAGGGCAACAAGGCCCCAGTAAACACCATTGAGCCGCAAATGCTCGGTCAGCCAATAGTCCAGCTCATCCTTCTTGGTATCGAGACTCTGCACATATTTCACATGTGCCTGCACGGCAAGGGCCGGGCTCTCTGTGGTTGTGCCTTCGTGAACCATGGTGCTGGGCAGCAAGAGAAGTTGAAGCTATTGTGGATCAGAGAAATTTGAGGCAGCAGACAACCCGAGAACTGCCCTTGCTGCAAGCTTAGGTAATCAAGTCAACCGACTGATGGGAGTTCGGGAGCATTCTGCTTTGCCACGCAAGTTCACCGGAGGATTGATAGAAAGCAACGAGCATACCGCATTTATTTCTTCCACAAAGTAGAAAATAAAAATAAAAATGAAAATGAATTCGGAAAGAGGGGGATCGTACTCAATTACCTGACTACATACTCCGTACTTCCTTTGAGAGGTAGGTACGTACTCTGTAAAGGCTGCCGTACTCTGCATAGCGTCTGGCATTGCTACTAAAGTTAAGTATCTAGGTACTTATACTTAAGTACTTGTACGTAGTAGAAACAGCGCCGGCTTACTTAGGTACTTGACAGGTTTATGTCTGGTATTTAACTGCTTAAGCAGAAATACAACTGACGATAAAAAGTATTTGACCGGACCAGACACCTGGATGCCGTGTTCTATGCTATGACATACTGTTATAGTATCTTTGTGCATATGTACTTCTTGTTGGGCAAGAATATTCCACCACAGTGACCAACATGACAGTATGAGTAAACGCAACTCCTTTTGCTTAGCCTTAGGGGGCCCATCCCCACATAAAGTCATGCTGGTTCAAATGTTGGCCATGCACCCTGGCACCCCTGGACTAGTCCCTGTCTGCACAAGCGGATGGGACTGGTACAACACGTTGTTTCAGATGGCTAGACGGCCATCGTTTCGGGGACGAGCAGTGGAGCCAAGCACCAGCTTTTGGTCACCTGGAGCCATCTGTGCTAGCATCGGGATAATGGACTTCGTTCAACGAGCCGTCGTCTAGCCGTTGCCGGCAATTTATGTCAACATGTGCCACCTGGTGTACAGCGAATGACGGATCGTTCACGGTTGGATGGGGCGAGGGGAGAGATGACGCTCCAGAGGCCCAAGACAAAAGGCTCAAGCGGATGGACAACTGGCACACAGTCCATGCCACATCAGATTGTTTGCGGGCGGGCCTCTTGTTTGCATTTGAATCCATCTCCTTTCAACCGGGTGCTTTCATCGTAAATGTGAACCGTACACTCCTCCTGTCTGAGGAACAAGCTGAACCTCGCCCACCGTCTCGCCCTGGATAAGCCCTTTGTTGGTGAGCTTTCGTTGAGTATTCTGATGACTTTGACAGCCAGACGAGACGGACAAAGTCACCAGCCAGTCTCGATCCAACTCTGGAACCCCACTCAGGCTTCTCCTGTCCTCCCCAGGCTGCTCAAAGCGCTCTCGTCCTTTTGTTCTGTCTTGGCGCTGACAGCCCCCTTGCTGGTTGACGGCTGGCTGACTGATCGCTGGCTCATCTCGGGTCATCCTACCGCGTGAAGAGTACGAAGCACTGGTGTTGCGTATGATTCATTGAATGCTGGGCGATGCTTGTTGTCTAGGCACTGATAAAGGAAGGCACGGATTGACAAATTGCCTAAAGCAAGACAGGGCAGGACCAGGCGAGACAAAACCAACAGATAAACAGATAAGCGGCGAACCAGCGGCGCATCGGATTCGCATCCCTCTGCGATTACCAGACTGTCTGTACTCTCAGCACGGAGAACGGAGAACTAGGCCTTTCTTTTCACACCCACACAATCATCCCGTCGCACGACATTGAACAGCACACCGCAGCCTCTTGGTTCTTTGTCGTCTGCGGACGCTGCGAGCCACGCCGGAGCAGGGCCCCTTCCGACCCCTTTGCCAACTCTGTGGCCGGGCCCGTGGCTGCATCACACGAGACGATACCAACTTTAGAAGCCTACGGAGCAAATCGATTCAGGCACGAGCGACACAGGGAGGCAGGCACATTGACAACATTTGTATTGAGGCTTCAACCTGGACCCCACCCCCTTCGGCCCTGGCATTGACGGACAATTCACGGGCATTGATTGATGCTGATCCATTCTGATCCATCCTAATCCCATCCCTCGGGCCACTTCAACTAGCGCCCAGCCCTCGACATCTGGAGTACTTCGTACTCGGTGCTTCCTATTGTACGGAAGCAAAAGGACGGCAACTACCAAGCTGACTCGACACAATCAGGGCGCATTGAAAAAAATAAAGTGCAACACTGCTACCCGGTCTTCTGCAGCGGCCACCGGCCACTGGCTGCAGCTGCAGGGTGAACCCCAGGGACTTGAGACCACGGGCTAACCGGATACTGGGCCACTGGCTACAGGCTACTACAGCCTACCACCAACAGCCTATAGGCCACCTGCTCCGGTAAACCTGCTCAGGTACACACAGGCACTGGGCACCGTTGACCTGACCAATTTCACCCAGCCCCTGGCGCCGTCTCGAGTCTGGTCCTCCAGACGGGAATCCTGCAACTGATTCAGGCCGCTCACTGCTGCGCCGCCCGGCAATTTCTAAGCGACGTCGAGGATCGAGGCAGCAGAGAGTCGAGAGCCCCGATTGTCGACATCAACATGGGACGCCGGCCCACGCCGCAGCCACTGCCTCTGGGCAGCACAAAGGCCAACACGAGCGCAAATTCAATCCGAAGCACACACAATCGCGGCCACCGTCTTGGAGCAACTGGCGCAACCGCAGCAGCAGCCACCGGCTTCGGTTTGGGGGCAACGGCGCAAGCGACGAGGACTGGTACTGCCGCATGCATCGAATCGACTGCTGAAACGGCCGTGCAAACCGCCAACGTATCGCCCATCCACCCAAGGCCACCTGTCTCGCTGCAGCCTTCGCTGCCGCTGTCACTGCAGTCACAGCCGTCACAGCACTCCCTCCAGTCGGAGCTTTCTCAGTCACAATCTCACTCTCGCTCCCAACCTTCTGTATCCTTGACCAGTCGCTTTGCCGCCACCAAACGACCGCAGACTTCGCAGGTTTCGCAGACTGGGAGGGGGCATATGCCGACTTTGGGCCACGAGACGAACCATCCTCGCCCACCCCAACTTCAACTTCAGCACGAACAGTCCCCTCCATACCACGACCAGATTTCGGGATCTGCCTCCCCAGCCTTCCGTCAGGTCTCCTCCGACGCAGAGAAGCGGCCGTCGACCAAGAGTGGCTTTTTCCACTTCAATAAGTCCTCCAAGAGTTCGAACCAACTCCCGCAAAACCCCTGCCCGCAGCTCTCGGATTCGCAGGAATACTTGGCTACCAGAGGTCCCGAAGAGCCACGTGCGCCAAAGTCTGAAAGTATGATACTCATCCGGCTCTTGCTCTTGAGCGTGCCCAGAAGAAACACGCGAACAATGGCAGAATGGACGAGGAAGCCCTCGCATTGCCAATATTTGGCTTGTCCCGGCATGCTTGCTGTCCCCCCCCCAAAGGCTCGACACTGGGACAGGTAGACTTGCTAACATGATTTGATTCTGATAGATTTTCCATATACACAAGAATACCTGCAGAAGCCTCCGCTACCATCCCGATCCGAGCTATCGCTGTCGTCCGCTGGAGACTGCGACGGCACATCTGCCCATTCGCCAGGCGGCAAGAGGAGTAAGACGAAGTCATTCGGGTTGTTGAGTAGAACCAGGTCCCATAGGGACAAAGATCGGAACAACAATTTAAAGGCCGCGCCAGTCATTGCTCCTGCTACTCTGGGCCGAAACGAGAATTACGACAACGCCATGCCTCTCCGGACCGCCCCCGTGGCCCAAGACCGAGCATTCAGAGATATGATGAATTCGAGTGCACGAAATCGATCAGAGGACAGGGCCGCTCGCCGTGACTCGTCGCGAGACAAGGAGAAGGGTGCTCTTCCGTCATCCTTAAAAGAGAATGGCTCCGGATTTTTTAGCGGGCTGCGGACTTCCTCCACCAGGGCTGCTGATATAATTAGTAAAGGGCTCTTTGGCAAGAGCTCAAGAAGCGGAAGCACGACGGAACGGGAACACGTTGTAGACGATGAACACTATATCCTCAAAGTTCTCAACCTCCCCCTAGTGGAACAGACTCGGATAACGCGCATTGCCAAGCGTCTAGAGACCTCGAAAGATAAGACGGAGTTTTGGATGCCGGCTTTCCCTTGGCGAGCCATTGATTATTTAAATCACAAGGGTTGCGATGTCGAAGGTTTATACCGAGTTCCTGGAAGTGGCCCGCAAATCAAGAAGTGGCAGAGAAAGTTTGACGAACGTAAGCTATCCTATATCTCACCATTGGTAACGGTCTTGACATTAGTTAACATTTCCCCTAGGATATGACGTTGATTTGTTCAAGGACGACGACCTCTACGATATCAACATCATTGGCTCTATGCTTAAGGCATGGCTACGTGAACTTCCAGACGAATTGTTCCCCAAAGCGGCGCAAGACCGGATCGCGCGCGAGTGCTCGGGGGCAACCAAGGTGCCACAATTACTCGTTGAAGAATTGTCCAACTTGTCACCCTTTAACTACTACCTCCTCTTTGCCATCACCTGTCACCTGAGTCTACTCTTATCTCGTTCCGATAAGAACAAGATGGACTTTAGGAATCTCTGCATCTGTTTCCAACCATGCATGAAGATTGATGCCTTTTGCTTCAAGTTTCTGGTGTGTGATTGGAGTGATTGCTGGATAGGTTGCAAGAATGAGGCAAAGTTCATCGAAGAAGAATACAGACTTTTCGATCAACCCCCGCCTAGAGGCATAACCGTACCCAATGGCCCTTCACATATAGACGAACACAACGATCGTCAGCTGTCGTCAACTGATAGCAACAAACCCTCCGATTATGACAATAGCAACAGGGCGCTCCAACGTCAATTCTCTGGCTCCAATGCGAGTATTGGGTCCAGAATCTCAACAATCTCAACCAATGTTACCACTAATAGTGAGCGTGAACCGCAAGAGACGACAAGGCAGCTTCGCCCGTTGTCACCAATTAAACCTCTGTCCCCCATCGGCTTTTAGGGATGGAATGACTGCTAGGGCCGACCCCGTGGCATACGAGCCGGCCATCGCGAATTTTTTACTCGATACAATTTGTGCAATGCATGCTCTCATTCATGTATTGTTTTCTTCGTCTCTTCGTCATTTAACGCCTTTACGACGGGTCTCATTGTTGACTCCCCCCTCACACTTGTTTGGTTTCTTACTCATTTTCCTTTTCTGCCTCTCATCACTGGCGGCGAATCAAGTTGTTCTACAGCGCATAAATTCCCCCATTTCGACGCAGCCTATCAAACTAGTCGGCTGTTTGGTATACCCTTCATCGCATCATCACATTATAAGACGGAGTGGATGTGGTTACCGGCTTCAGTCTTCATATACCACGCAATTTGCAAATTTTTGTTTTATGCTTTTTGATACTGGATTAGGTCATCGTGTTTAACCGTACTTGTTAAAATTACTAGTTTTAATCGACACCCGAGAATGGAGACGAGATGCATTTTTGTGGCGGTTCAGAGCCTGACAGACAGTGGCGGTTGTGGCAGAAATTGAAGGTTCAATGCCCGAGAATCATGTAGCCAGGGCTTTCGCGCATTCATCATCAGCCCAAAGCAAAGGATTTTTCCGGGGCAATGACGGTGAAGGGCACAAAAAGAGATCATTCGGGTTCTGTGTATAATAGTCAAGGAGGTGTTGGTTGGAGTATATTCATGGCTGAAGGAGCAATATCGGAGAAGACAAAAGGACAATAAGAGAGAGCGGAGGCGGGTATAGATGGTCGAGGTTCCGGTAATGGGAATTAAAATCACACAGAAGCAGATTTTTGGCGAAAATATGATATTGCTTTGTCTTGAGTTTATAGCGCATTGCCCCAAAACTTTTGTGACTGCGTAGGTAGGGCCATCTAAATATGATTCAACTCCAGACTCCGATTTTGTGACCAGACGCCATGGTAACACACCGATGAGTGTTCGGATAGCCCGTCAGGTTCCGATTTCACATGTTCCTGACCGATAATTTTGTCGAAAAGTTCACATGTTTCCCCCCCCCGGTCTCCATCAACCTTACCTAGCGCTCAAGGCATCCCTCTGATTCTTCCTCATCTTTCTCTCGTTGCGCTTTATTCTCTCCTTCCTCTCTCTTCGGCCGTCACCTCTGATGCTAGTTCCCTCCTTCCTCTCCCTCTCCTTCTTCATATCTACCTCCATGATGGGATAATCCTCACCCTTTTTATTGAGACCCTTGTATCCCCACTTGCGCTTCCATTCGCCACTCTCCTCGTCATACGCCAGGTTTCTTCGCTGCTCTCTAGTCTTGGCCTTGATACCCTTCTTTTCGGCGAAGCGCTCCCACTTCGTCTTGGCTTTCGCTTCCGGCAGAGGCTTCTCACGCGGTAAGGCGGTTGATGGGGCGGGCAAGGAGAGAAGCACACCATCGTTGGTTGAGCTGATGGGACAGGTGGTGAGGAGTTGGTTGATGAGAGACTGGGCACCATCTCGGGCAACTTCTGCGAGGGACTGTTCGAGCGAGGAGCGGTCGAGGGTGATGGCATTGGGGTCTTCGGCGAGCAGGAGACCGAGGTCGAAAGTATACGGGGTGGGTTTATCCACGGATACGGGAAGTTTGGGCCTCGTGCCAGGGAGGGCCATTGTGACTGTTGACGGAGAGTAGCTGATTGGTATTGTAGGGATTAGATTCTGAACAAATAAGTGTTGACTTTGTGGTTGTTGTTGAAGAAGTACTCTTTAAGTTAGGCAGCTTTGTTGTACGAATTCTGTCGTTGGATCACCAACTTTTTTGGACTTGGAGAATTGGACCCTCCTAAATTTTTGGAGGCCGATAAGAGCGATAGCCAGGTGCTGGCGCCGGATCAACGGCGTGGAATTTTCCGGGCTTTTGTTCGCGTGCCAGTGATGCGTAGTGACGACCCCTGCGAGCTGCACGGGTGGACCAATCGGCGGCTGTACAACTTTCGGGAGATTTTTGCTACAAACCTTCGCAGCTCTCCCGTTCTCTGAGGAGAGCGTACCTCCACGACATCGCCAGGCCCAATTGGCCTCCATGTGGCAATAACACCACATCCCGCAACAGTTCTCTAGCTGAGATGATGTCTCATTTGACCATCATGGCATCGTCGGCAACCTCTTCCCTCCGCAGCCTCGTCAGGCCCTCGATCCCCCTCGCGCCTCGCATCCATCCCGTTATCCTCTCTCGAGTAGCATTCTTATCAACCACGACCGCTAGGGCCGCTGCGCCTCCTCCGACGATAAAATCCCGAAGAGATCTCCCGAAAAAGGTCAAGCGAACGTTCAAAAAAAAGACCAATGTGGTGGCCGTCAAGAAACCCAATCCCGGAGAGCGCAAGGCGTTCCGCAAGCGCATCCAACTAAGCAACAATAGTGCTTTGCCAGTGCGGAACATTGACGAGTTAACGCCGGAGACTTTGGCAAATTTAGAGAGCAAGGGCAAGATGTTTGCCCTGCCGGATAAAGTGGTCGACCAGTTGAGAGCTCTGGAAGCATTCAAAACAACGCAGACGTGGAACTTGTTTAGGCGGCCGCATTTCCTGGTGAGGGAGGAAACTGTCCAATTGATGATCAAGATGGAAAAATCTATAGAAAAGAAGGAAGCGTTGAAATGTGTGCTCACGGGGAGCAAGCTGTCCGGAAAGAGCCTGGCACTGCTGCAGTCCATGTCGTATGCTTTGATGAATGACTGGGTTGTTGTGCACATTCCCGAAGGTAGGGCAGCGTCTCATACGACTTGGGGTTATTCCAGCTTGCTAATGAGAGGTGATTGTGAAAATAGGCCAGGACCTTACCAACGGCAACACCGAATACTCCCCCGTTGAAGGCACCGAGCCCATGCAGTTCGCCCAGCCCGTCTACACCCTCAAGCTCCTCCAAAACATTTACAAAGCCAACAAGGCTGTCCTGGAGAAACTTGCCCTCCAAAAGGACTGGTCACGCTTCACCCACCTCAAGCAGGGTGCCACAGTAGCCGACCTGGTCCTCAGCGCCAAGGAAAGCGAAAACGCCTGGCCGACACTCGAAGCCCTCTGGACGGAACTCACCTTGCCGGGCCGGCCGCCAGTGCTCCTCGCCCTCGACGGCCTTGCGCACATCAACAAGATGAGCGACTACCGTGACTCGTCATTCAACCAGGTGCATGCCCACGAGTTGTCGCTGGTACGTCTCTTTGTCGACGCGCTTTCGGGGAAGACGAAGCTCCCCAACGGCGGCGCCATTGTCGCTGCCACGTCCGACAACAACACACACTACCATCCTTCGCAAGAGCTCGTCCTCTCGCAACTGGAGGCCGGCCAGGCCGGTCGCGAGATCCCCAAGCCTGATCCCTACGAGAGGAAGTACGACGAACGCGTGTACGAGTCGCTCAAGAACAGTTACGTTCTTCGAATCGGGGGCGTGTCCAAGGATGAGGGGAGGGTGTTGATGGAGTACTGGGGCGCAAGTGGTATGCTGCGCAGCGTCTTGAATACAAGTACCGTGACGGAGAAGTGGGCTCTTGGCGGGCATGGCATCGTCGGTGAGATGGAGAGGGTGTCGCTGATGACGATGAGGATGTAAATTATATATTTGTAACTTGTACTATACAACGCCAATACACCGTATGAGGAGTATATTTGTCGAGTGGCGTGGCGTTTGACCTTGGATGAAAGACTGGCCGGCCTATTTTGGGGAATAGAAGGCTACCTGTTGATAGTCGCCGGGGATGATCAGTTAGCAGAGACTTGAGGTCTCTGCGAGCGTCATGAGTGGTCGGTCATTGTTCACCTTTGGCAGAGTTGCTTGTGGTGTTGCGGTGATGTCGAGAAACCATCTACATGTGATTAGGCCGTCTAAATAAAGACGGCTACGGGATTCGCGCTCGGAAGGCAGGAAAGTATCGGCGTCTGCAGATTTTGCCTGACTGAACATAATCGACCCGCGTCTGAGAGGTCAACGGAGACGTGCCGCAGTATCGGCCTTTTTCAGTACCACCTGAGTGACCCGACAGGCACGGTTCTGTTTCCAATTGTCCCGGCAAATCATCTGGTTACACTCCCTTCTACTAGATTTCATGCTTGTACTAAGCATGCGTTGATTATCTCTTGGAGCTGGATATTTGATCCGTTTCTACGCAATCATACACTCAAATTTCTATGCTCACTCGTCATGTATAACCATGTCCTGCCAGGATTAGGAAGTATTGTTTAACTCTAGCAGATTAATCACACGTCGTAAACATTTTAGGCTCTCCAAGGAATGGTCAAACATCATACAACGCGTGTAGCGCGATGGAGCTTGAATCGTGGATTGCTCTCATAACAGCATGCCCTCTCCGGGTCCCTCTCCCGACACCGATATATCCCAAAACGCCATACCCAACCAAAAGCCAAAAAAATTTAATTTGTTTTTGAATGAATCCCACCCCTTAATCATCCATGTTGTCCTCGTCATCATTACCAGCGGTGACGAATACCAATCTAGCACCACTACCAGTAGTTTGCCACACCTAGAATTCCTCGTTAGCCTCGATCTTTGTCCCCCCGATAATTTTGCTATACTCACATCGAGCGTTGTGTATTCGTCCAGGGCATTGAGCCACTGATCCTCTGTAAAGCCCTTTGCAATCACGCGCTCCTTGACCTTGCGCATGCTCAACTCCACACCGAGGTCGTCATCTTCGGCGTCGTCAGCACGACAGGCGCCAGAATCAGCGAGTGCCTTGACGAGATTGTAAATTCTACTGCTGGCGTTGAGGCCGCGGCGGCCAGTGTTCACTTCGGCGTTGAGGCTCTCCTTGCTGGCCTCGACCAGGCGCAATGCTTCGTCAACATCGTCCTGGGAAACCTGGTTGCTGAAACGGAGGCGAGCAAGGGCCTGGGCGAGACGAACAACGCCGAGCAATGTTCTCGGGGTAGTGTGTGTGAATTGCTTGCCCTTCTTCTCCGCTCGCTGCTGCTGATCTCGGAGGCGGACATATGTCTTGATCATGTAATCGGAGACGGACTCGGGGACAACAGGGCGGTACGTTCGTGCTTGGGCTACATATGAGCGCACTTCGTGAGGTGTGAAGACGACATTGTCGGTGCCAATGTCGGGGTGGCGGTTGTTCATGTGAACGAAGGCGACGTGCTTTGCTAGCTGCTCGTCTGTTTCGCGGGATGGGGTATCGAGAAGAAGGAAAAGTACGTCAAAACGAGACAAAAGCGCAGCAGGGAGGTTGATGTTCTCAACGGGAGAAATACGGGGGTTGTATCGCCCATAGATGGGGTTAGCGGCCGCCAGAATGGACGTGCGAGCATTGAGAGTTGTCGAGATGCCGGCTTTGGAAATGGAAATGGTCTGCTGTTCCATGACTTCGTGAATGGCTGTTCTGTCGGTATCATCCATCTTGTCAAACTCATCGATACAGCAGATACCATTGTCGGCAAGAACAAGAGCACCACCTTCAAGAACCATCTCATCCGTCACGGGGTCTCGCATGACAGCAGCCGTCAGACCGACACCACTGCTTCCACGACCAGAGGTGTATACACCACGCGGGGCAACCTTGGAAATGTACTTGAGAAGCTGAGACTTTGCAACACCAGGATCACCCATTAAGCAAATATTGATGTCGCCGCGAATCTTCATACCATCGCCCATCTCTTTGGAAACACCGCCAATAAGCAAGAGCAGCAGAGCCTTCTTAACATCCAGGTGTCCGTAAATTTCGGGGGCAATAGATTTGGCAAGTAGCTCGTACACTTGGCCAGTCTGTCGATACTTGTCGATGCGTCGCACAAGCCGTGGGTCGACAATCATCTCACTGTAGGCCTTCTTGTGCTGGTGGATGTGGTGAGCCTCGAGGTAAGTGTCGGTCAGGAGACCAGCCTTCATAGCCTTGAAGCCTGTGTAGGGAGTAGGCAAGAAGATGCCGGAGATGTCAACGACATCACCAGGGTTAATCTTTCGTACAAGGCTCCCATAGCACAGGACGGTCAGGGAGCGAGGAATCTGGCCAATGGGAACCTGCTCAGCCATTTCTTGGACCTTGACTTCTTGAAAGGGCAGGAATTTGGATGCTCTGGTGGAGGGATTGAGTTGGCCCTTGGCCTGGTTTGCCTTGCAGTCTTGGGACGGGCACATTGTCAGCGGCCCGTACTGCTTATCAGTAATGGGCTGGAAGATCTCGCATCCGCAGCTGTCGCACGTATAAGCACTGACTTGAACAATGGGCTTCACATCAGACACGCGCGTGGCAATAGCCCGGACCGTAATCAGGTGGCCTATGTGGTCACCTCTGACTTGGCGGACAGCCAAAGCCTTGGTAGGTTCTTCAGCGGTCCGCGATCTGGGTTTGAAAACCAGAGTGTACCGCCGAGTAAGCTCGGCAGGAAACTGGTCGTCCTCGGCAGTAGGGTCACGCTCTGCGGCTTCCTGAAGTTCGCGGTTACGGGCTTGGCGACGAGCCATCAAAACATCGAGAACATCGTCCTTGAAACTGGCCTTGTGTTAGCGGCAATGGGAGTGTTGTCCATGTCCATCGTCACCCCCCCTTACCTAACATCCGTGCTGGGTTGTGGCATGATCTTGTCCACGGCTTTGGAAAGGACATCGACGTAGTGCTTTGTATTTAGCTCTATTGAGTCAACCAGGTGGAGTTCCTCTTGGCCTTGACTTTCCCACTGGAGAATCATCAGTTTCATGCTTGTAGCAATCAGGTTAGTTGGCAGCATAGAATACTCACAGCATAAAGATCGTCGAGATCAATCGTGATTTCGTCAATGGTTCTGTCGGCCAGCTGCTGCAACAGGTCCTTGTACTTGTGCTGAGGAATTCGTTTGTTTGCCTTCTCCTGGCGGCGGCGGTCGCCCGACTCGTCGTCTTCATCCATGAAGTCATAGCCGTCACTCAGATCATCATCGTCGATGGTAATGTCACCCATGGCGGTGGTAATGGTATGCTCGGGCGACGCCGTCTTGAAGTCGTTGAGGAACTCCTCAAAGGCACCTGTATGTCATTAGTGTCTGGTTCAGTCTTTGCAATTGCCTAGAAATAACTGACTTTGCTGCTCGTCATAGTTGACGGGAGCCTTGTATTCTCGGAGTGCCATCTTGGAGATTCTGCTTTTGCCTATGACAGACGAGAAATGTAAGTGCAATCGCAGCAGATCGCAAAGTGGGAGACGGGCTGCGATGCAGAAATGCAGATGCAGGGATGCGAGATGCGAAATGCGAGACTGTGTGAGGAGCTAAATCGCGACCGACGACCGAAGCACACGCGACTTTTCGCGTCAACTCCTCTATAAGTCGCGTTTTGCACCGCCACAGACAATTAAGCTTGCCGCCTGCCGCCTGCCGCCGTACGGCGCACAGCCACAATGGTTACGGTGTGACGGGGAGCGGAGGGGGCAGTCGGAGCCGGAGCCGGAGCCGAGCCGAGACAGCGACAGCGAGGAAGGGAACTCGACGGGTAGTGGAACAGCAGCGTTATTAAGTTTTGAGTCAAATACACGGTTCTTCAAGTTGAAGCCAGCTGGCAAGCCTTCTATCTAATAGGAAATAGGAAATATTCTCTTTTCGCTTCATTGAAAGATGTCATCTTATTTGTTCAATTTGGAAAAGGCCTCAGTTCTCTACATTAGGAGATTGAATCAAAGACGACTTCACATTCATTCGATCTGACCTTGCTATACAAAACTCGTGAGATCCAACGAGAAGAATGCAGTTTCAAATGTCGGTTGCTTTCTTGACAGGTGCCCTTCCGCAAGTATAGCCATAGTGACTCGTCTGACCGTCTCCTGTGCCCGTTACCATCTGCCGATATGCTGCCGTGCCGTGCTTCGCAGTTGTTGTATTCGCCTGCAGGTGATGAGGCCATGCGCCTCGGAGCAAGTTCCCGTACCCGACCAGATGCGGTTCTGCGCTTTGCTAAACGTCAGATGCGTCGACAAAAGCCCCAGATCCAGTGTAGGCCAGGGACGGTGGATGGAAAACCACTTTAGAGTTGAAAAACTCGGTGTACCTAAACAGCGAGCTTAGAAGGAAGTCGCGGGCACGCAGCCTGTGCTGATCGAGGAAGATTTCTGACCCCATCGAGGTCTGCACGAACTGAGCCTCGTAGTGGTGAGTCGTAGCGGATTGACCGTAGGCTCTGTCCCACGTCAAGTGGTTATAGACTGAATGGTTTTCGTATATGTACAGGTCGACCATCCAGCTGTCTTTGACACTGGACAAGATGAACTCGGAATACTGCTGCTCGTCGTTGAACGAGGTCATAAAATCGGCGGGCGAAACAAACCAATTTGCACTCGCCCACGATTTGTCGACATTCACGACGGCAGCCAGGAAGCTAGGGAAGCAATCAAAGCCACTAGGTAAGACAGCCGACTTGCCTACCTGGGCAGCAGAGGCCAGTGGCGCAATGAGGCCGAGGAGGGAAAGAAGGGCGGCCCATGGAAAGATTGCGTGGGAACGTCGTCCTGGCCTGGGGATTGGAACAGTCATGATGGCGGGCCTGGCTGACAGACCACTGACTCTTAGCATAGGAGCAGCTGCAGCGCAAGCGGAAGATATGGAGCGTTTGATGGTCGCCTGACTATTTGCACTAGAGTGTTAGTCTTCTGGCCCTTTGGGAAGCTCCATGGGGTGAATCTATCATGACAAATCGTATATCTCAACAGATAATGAATCATCCCTTGACTCATGAAATATCTAGGAATAAAGTATACCTTGAAGCGGCTACTCATGTAGCTGCCACAGTAATATGATGGAAGTAGCAAAAGAGGCAATCGGATAATAGGGCCGTGTTGAAAAGTGATTAAAGCTTGATTTCCTAGGTACAGGTTGAGATTTGAAGTCCTTTATATAGCAGAAGGACCGCCGTTGTATTCAGTCACCCGTTTCAGCCTCCTTGGACTATAACTTGTGCTGTAATACAAGATGCGCTATAATATGGGCTTCAATTGGGCCACAGTAATGTAACGGCTGGACTGCCAAGGGACAATGTCAGCCAGTGTATGCATTCTATCGTATGGAGTAATGGATACTGGGTGAGTTATAGGAGCGGGTAGTACCCTGGATGTACATGACGACGGATGACAATAGAGGACAGAACAACACAATCTGCGTTTACAAACACAAGAGTTTGTGCCGGTTCATCCCGGCTCCTATTCCTCATATTCGTGCTCGCCTCAGCTTCAAATGAGCCAAGATCGAACGGCAGCTTGAAGATAGTTCAAGAGGATTTCTCAACTCGAGATATTGTAACGTGGGATAATCCTGTCTTGGAATCCTTCCGTTTGAAGTTGATGACCGGTTTTGTTTTAGCGTCAATCCTTGCGATTTATGTAACTTGATGACATGCATACGCAGGGCGGGCAAAGAGGGAAATTGGTGCGCGAATGCCAACTATAGTAGGATCTTGATCCTCATTCCATGTGATATTCCTCATTGTCCCCATGGGGCCATTTGCCAAGCTATTCCTTCCGTCGCACCTGGACAGCTCCAAAGATGAGGATTAAATCCATCTACCCCGTCATCAATGATCATTTGCCCAGGCTGCGCATTTGCCTGTGCGCGTAGACTTGCCTCCATAATGTTCATGCGCCAGCCACCTGTATTCAACAAAAACTGCCAAGCAACAGACCTTTGTGTCTGGTAGTTGTAAGGAATAGCCAGTAGCTATTTCTCGCAGACAAGATATTGTATAAACTTACTTGACTCGTTGGTTGTGGCACATAGATAGATAATAAGCTACGTCACGCAATGCCATGATGCATTGCTGCCGTCAGGACTCGGGACGCATGACACCCGGGTAGCAGCGGCAGCTCCTCCACCTTGTAAGCCCTCAAGCGACGGCCTGGCCTACGAGTCGTGACCAGCTGGTTGGTTTCTACTTGTCAGAAGCGGCGTTGGAGTTTGGCCAATTTCGACATACTCTTGAGCGTAGACTTTGGGCAACAGGCCGGGTCTACAGGTAGCTTGGCTTGCATTTTTGCTCCGAGATGAGTTGCCTTGAGATGGGGGAGTTTTCATCCCCCCTTTCTGAAGTTTCTCTTGTCGTCTTTTCGACGTGGATGGTAGTAGTTGCTCGTGGCTACAATCTCTTTGACTGTGCCCAGGTCCAATTGATGTATTCAACCCATTCTTCTTTTATGATACTTAAAGATACTTAAAGATACTCCCTTATTAGGGATAATAAACTAGTATATTTTTATATACTTATATATATTTAAAATCTTAGTTACTTATTATTAATAAGAACCCTGGTCCGTTACAAAAATTAGACCTGCGCACATTGAAAGGGATACACTGGATTTTTTAGGCTTAAATCTGATATTATTTACTCCGTATAAAATTATATGTGGAGTCTGGCGCTCGGGGTTTGCGGTTTGGAGGGGCGGAGACGGGCAGATGGCCCGCCACCAGACCGCGTTCGGCACGTGGATTTGCCTCGGTCTGACTCTGGGGATGCCGGTTTGCGCGGGTCATCGCACCACCGAGCTTCGCTTTGCTCTCTCGAGTCTGGAGCCCATGGCATCTTCTCACCCAAAACCAGCCCTCCATCTCGTGCCTGCATACGTCTTCTGACGGGCTGCGGCTCTCTTGTCGACTTCATCATCAAGCCATGATCCTGAGTAGTCCACAATGGCCCCCAGGAAGAATGCGCAATCTACCACGGCAGAGCTCTCGCTCGTCCACTTGAAGAACTGCTTGGTCAACCTTCCGCCGTCGCTGGTGTCCTTGCTCCTCAACTTGAATACAGTCTGTTGTCTCTACTGTTCAATTGCGCCAAATCGCATCCGCTGACCAACTTTCCCTTCCCCACAGCCCGTTCAGAATGTCATTGTCGAGCTTGCCTACAAACCTGCCTCCTCGGGTGGCCAGCCATCATCTCCACAGTCCATCTTTGTGGGATGGACCGGCATGCCCAGCAAGAGACGAGCAGCGCCGCTTGTGAGCCGCGATGGAATCAGTGGGAGCCGAGGGTCCCGAGACCAAGAGATTCAGGTCGTTGAGATGGATGCGACGCTGGCAAACACCTTGGGCCTCAACGACGGCCAAAAGCTCACCGCCACGGTTCATGTCGATCCACCCGTCGCGCACACAATCAACATTGAGCCGTTGACTCCTGAGGATTGGGAGATTATCGAGCTGCATGCGACGTTTCTAGAACTCAACCTCCAATCGCAAATCCGCGCCCTTCCGAATCCTGCATTCAACAATGGCACTACAGCAGTCCCGCCTCACCCGCTAACATTGCATCTATCACCCACATCGACTGCCAACATCAAGGTCGTGTCTTTGGATCCTGCGCCTCCAGCGGATGTAGCTTTTGTCAAGTTGTCCCCCAACGCCGAGGTCATCGTCGCTCCAAAAGTCCGAGCCAAGACCTCTCAGTCCAGCGGCGACCACCGCAGCGTTGCCAGCACCTCAAAGTCCAGACGTAGCGGGGGAAGCACGATGCGAAGAAGAAGTACGAGAGAAGAATCGAAACCTGCCCTATTCTTTCGAGCGGTTGAACGATCTGCCTGCCGGGAATGGTTCGATGATGGGCTGCTGGATCCCGATATTAGCATTTGGGTTGACCGTGATCGCCTGCTTTCGAGTTCGTTTCGGGGCGTTAAATACGTCCTTGTCGACGTTATCAAGCCAGCAGGACTGCAGAAACCCCAAGCCGAGGACGGCACCGCTCCTCCGGCCTCAATAGCCTCATCAAAGGTCGTGGCACGCTTAAAGCCCTGGGACGATCCGCCTGATGGCCAAACGGCCGCGCTCTCGTCCCCTCTGTGCGCTGTTCTTGGTTGCCCAGGAATTGTCGGCGGCGTAGTCAAGCTTCAGGCCGCACCACCACCGCTTCCCAAAGGGGCTGTGCAGAGTGTCAGAGTATTTCCCTTTGCGGCTGGGTCAAAGCCAAACGAAGGTCTCAGGTTCGGTAGCGACTCAAAGGCCGAGAAGGAAGAATCGGCCAAGCGCTTCAGACACATGTATTCTGGTGCGAATAACACCGAGGGTTTGCTACAGGGACCAATCACGGACGGCATGATTGTCGGAGTCTACAGCGAGCTGGAGGCACCTCAGGGCTGGGAAGGTGGTTTTGTCAAGTTTGAGTACGGTGCCGAATATGCTGCCCAAGAACACAGCAAGGACGCCATATTCTGGGCTGCCGGCTTGGATGAAAAGACCCAAATTGAATTCCAGCAGCCGCAAGCTCGACCGCCTTGGATTGCCCACTCGGACGTCTTTGACCTGTTGCCCAAGAACGACTCCCTCCTGGTTGGAATAGACTCACTGCTTGAAAATCTGCAAAAGCAACTAGCCCACCTCTCATCGGTTTTACTGACAGGCGGCATGGGTTCTGGCAAGACATCAGTCGCAAAGTACATGGCCGAGAAGTTGCGCCGGGACATGTTATTTTACACCATCTATTTTTCTTGCCGGAAACTGGTGAATGATGAAACGAGGATTTCAACTATCAAGGAGACCCTCACCCGCATTTTCATGTCGGCGAGTTGGGGGGCAAGACTGGGCGGCAAGGCCGTCGTAGTCCTGGATGACCTGGACAAGTTATGTCCCGTGGAAACAGAACTCCAAGTTGGCAACGACAATGGGCGAAGCAGACAGGTCAGCGAGACGATTCGCTCCATTGTCAGGCAGTTTTGCACCAGAGACGGTGGCATTGTCCTGCTTGCCACAGCTGAAGGCAAGGACTCTCTCAATAACGTCGTTGTAAGCGGCCACGTGGTTCGAGAAATCGTCGAACTCAAGGCGCCTGACAAGGAGGCAAGAAGGAGAGTAATGGAATCCATTACCCGACAAGAGTCCTTACCAGACAAGGACCCGGATGAGCTGGACAGTAACCTCAGCCGTCCACCAACATCCGATGGCGGCGCAATGGGCGACGACACGGAAGCATGGCTGCATGGCTCAGACGCAGACAAGCCAAAGTCCAAATCCACCGGTTTCATCATCGACTCGGATCTCGACTTCCTCGACATGGCTGGCTTAACAGACGGATACATGCCTGGCGATTTGAGTGTCCTCGTGTCTCGAGCTCGAAATGAAGCCATTATTCGTTCCATTGCCGAATCGCCATCCGATGCCACCGACGGCGCCGTTCGCTTGAGCCGCGTCGACTTTGATCATGCGCTGAAGGGATTCACCCCGGCTTCCCTTCGCAACGTGCCGCTACAAAGCTCCACCACAACATTCAAGTCCATCGGAGGTCTGCACGAGACACGCCGTGTCCTGTTGGAAACCCTAGAATACCCGACGAAATACGCCCCAATCTTTGCCCAGTGCCCCCTCCGTCTCCGGTCCGGTCTCTTGTTATACGGCTACCCTGGCTGCGGCAAGACTCTGCTAGCAAGCGCTGTGGCCGGTGAATGTGGCCTCAACTTTATCAGCGTCAAGGGCCCCGAGATCCTGAACAAGTACATTGGTGCTTCAGAGAAGAGCGTCCGCGACCTGTTTGATCGCGCCCAGGCCGCCAAGCCATGCGTGCTCTTCTTTGACGAATTCGACTCCATCGCCCCAAAGAGAGGACACGACTCGACCGGCGTCACGGACCGTGTGGTCAATCAGCTGCTGACGCAGATGGACGGTGCAGAGGGCCTGTCTGGCGTTTACGTCCTCGCGGCCACCTCGCGGCCCGACCTCATTGACCCTGCTCTCCTTCGTCCCGGGCGTCTCGACAAGTCCCTTCTCTGTGATCTCCCCTCTCTGGAAGACCGCCTCGACATCATCAAGGCTCTCTTCCAGAAGGTCAGATTGTCCAGTGAACTCACCGACTCGGACGACGGCCTGACGGAGATTGCCCGCCGCACAGACGGCTTCTCCGGCGCGGACTTGCAGGCCCTCGTCTCCAATGCCCAGCTAGAAGCCATTCACGATGTTATAGACGTAAACGGCCCCGCCGCCAGCTCCCGTCATGGAGGCGGCAACAAGGGCAATCCTGCCGGCCGCAACTCCACGCCCAGCTTTGTCCAATTCCGCTACGGCACCGACCCGGCCCTCGGCAAGGACAACATGCCGCAGAGCAAATCGGCCTCCCTCATTGAAAGCGCAGCCATCATGTCCAAACTAGAGCAGATCAAGCTTGCCCGCAAAAAGGCCAAGCAAGCAAAGAAAGGTTACGGCGCGCTAGAATCCTCCGAGAACAAGGAGTCAGCATCGACGGATCATAGAGAAGTCGTCATTGAGTGGGACCACTTGATCAAGGCTCTTGACAACACAAGAGCAAGCATCAGCAACGAAGAAAAGGCTCGTCTTGGGAGAATCTATCATGAGTTTGTCGTGGGCAGAAGCGGCCAGATGAAAGACGGACAGGGGAGCATGGAAATTGGCGGACGGAGCAGTCTGATGTAGAGAGTATGTACAATAACATTACCATTGCCTTGCCCGAGTCTCGCCACCGTCAAGCCTCACTCATATGATATATCCGACGACTGACACCGACCAACCCATCACTCTATCCACCCGTCTCCGACCGCCCTCCTCGCCACACGCAATACCTCGTCGTGAATGCCTTCCCTCGCCATCACCAGCCCCCTATTCCCACTCAAATACCTGCCCCTCGAAAAGTCCACCTCGCGCCCGTCCAGATCCGTAATCCTGCCCCCGACCTCCCTGTAAATCAACTGCGCGCCCGCATGGTCCCAAACGCACGACCACGCCTCTCTCCCCGAGGGGATTCGCACCAAGAAGTCCCCGCCGCCAATGATCAGAGCCGCGTACCTCACATGCGAAGACCACACGTCCGTCCCCGGAAACGCAGCCCCCAGCTCCTCGCAGACAGCACTCATCACCCTCCTATGCGAGGCGCGGTTCCTGTCGCAGTCCACAACGTGCAGATTCCCCCCCTCGCTCGCCGCCAGCCTCGGCAGCCGCTCCGTCTCCCACGGCCCGTCCAACCCAGCCAGCCTCGTCACACGCGCCCCCTCGCCCCTCGCGCCGCTCAACATCACCCCCAAGCCGACCCCGTCGACGCTGTCCTCGCGGATCCTGCCCCCCTCCAGCCTGAGATTGGGGTACACCACCGCGGCGAGCACCTCGCGCCCGTCCTCAAGCAGCGCCAGCGAGACGGCGTACTGCCCGCCCGTGAGGAACGTGGCCGTCCCGTCCACCGGGTCCATGGCCCAGAAGCGTCCTCGCGGCCCGCCCGTCCCGCGGCCCCCCATGTCGATCAGCGCGAGCATCTCGTCGACGCTGCTGCTGCTGCTGGCCGGGCCGTCCCCCCGCGCGGCCGAATACAGCGCGTACACTTTATCTCTTAGACTTTCGTCTCTGCGGAGCACGGCTGAGTCCTCCTCGCCGACAAACTTGTCGTCCGGGAACTCGGCGTGGAGGATGCCGATGAGGAGTGCCTGGGCGGCAAAGTCGGCCACGGTGACGGGGGACGAGTCCGCCTTGGAGACTTCTGTCACGGACGACAGGACCCCCTTCGTGAGTCTGGCGGCTTTGAGCACCGCGGATTGCGCGACGGATAGCTCTCTCTCCCAGGAGGACGGCATTGTGACCTTTTTTTTTTTTGGTTTTATGAGACGGTGGCGTTTTGGGGTTCGTTTCTAGATACTGAGTGAGCTGTGGAGTTTCGTGATACTCCCTCAACCCTTTGCGCTTCGGATTTCGATATTGACGAGGGATTTGTGGGGCCCTATTTGGCCAGTCCTGACTCTTGACTCTTGACTCTTCATCCCATCTGCACCACACGATGTGTTCTGTCTTCACCACTCAACACATATTCCACCCCGTCACAATGCTGCAAGACGCGGTCCCACTCAAACAAAATGGTTTGTATTGCATATAATCTAAAGACGACATAGCTATCCATGCTTGAGGTCCCTCCTCACGCGGAACGAGATATGAGGGGGGAGGGGGTATTCTATGGTAATACTGTATCAAAGTTCAACACATCCCCTTTCCTTCAGTATTTTCACAGTGCCCACGTTGCTGCCTGACGACATGAGTCTGTGCCCATTCGTCACAAACCCAATCCGGCGGCTATGCTTGCTTTTCTGACAGCGAGCAAAGGGACTCGTTTGAGACGCCAAAACAATCGTCTCCTTTGACCCATTCCTTAGCTCAAAGACAACCAACATGTTTCCACAAGCCACCGACCATTACAAACTCCTCCGCACCATCTGCTTTACCATGCAAATCCGGGTATGTAGTCGCTTCAAGTCTTTTCCACGCCATAATCTTCAATGCTGTCCATTGTACCAAAACGCCAGTTGATGCAAATGCCAAAAAAAATGTGTCAAAAAATTTTCAGGTAGTCAGGCAAGGGCTCCTTTCGCCCGGTCCAGATATAATACGTCAGCACTCTCATACACCTGAGCAGGCTCATCTTATGATCCTCTATGCTCCATTCATTCGTGTAGAGCTGGATCCTGAATCTTTGTTGCGGGTGTGAAGTATACGGTACATGTTACTTAATCGTTTGCCTGTGACGATCTTGCTAGTATCGTCGACCGGCCAGAGTGCAGCTAGGAAATCCCTGTTGTCCCTAGAATCAGCATTGCAAGTTTCCCACATTTCAGTATGGGTTACATATACATACCAAAAGTTGTTCTTGAGACTTTCATCAGCCGCAGTGACGGGGAGTTTTTCGTCAAGGAAAGTGCCTATAGCAACTAGCTCTACTCCGAAAATTGCCGCACGCTCTTTGCTGGACTTGACATTATCTTTGGTTGTAGACAAAATCTTTTCAAAGTTTTCGCGTACAGGTTTTAGGAGGTACCAAATCATGGCGTCGTTGTCCCTGTTGCGCTCATCTTTGTTGTCACCGATGCGGCGGAGTTCATCCAAACGGCGTAGGGCCTTGGTTCTTCGCTCATCTTGAGTGCGTGAATCGTGGTCACGATCGCGGTCCCTGTCCCTGTCTCTCTCCCTGTCTCTTTCTCTGTCTCTGTCTCTGTGAGAGTCTCGAGCATGCTCTCTATCCCTATCTCTGTGGCGGTCCCGGTAATGGTCTCTGTCTCCGTCTCGCTCACGATCGCGGTCGCGGTCACGGTCACGGTCACGGTCACGATCACGATATCTATCGTCGTCCCGACGTCGCTCATCGCGGCGTCGTTCATCGTCATGTCGATGTCGATGTTTCTCATGTCGTCGATCATCATCGTCTCGGTAGCGCCGATGATCCAGCCTATCACGGTCACGGTCACGGTCACGGTCAATGCCGTGCTTGCTTAGCCGACGACCATCTTCAACTCGGCGATGTTTTGGGCTGCGATCATCGTCGTAGGATGATGCGTGTTTTCGCTTGAAATCGGGTCTAGCTGAACCACGATCGTCTGTATTGCTTCGAGCCCGCTGATCATCGCGGTCTCTGTCACGATGCTTCTTAATAGCGTGAGGAGCGGGTGATGCGGTTCCACTCCCACGATGGCCGTTGGGCACACTATTCTTCTTGTTGTTTCGGTGATGATTATCCACGATTCGCTGTGCCGCCCGATCACCAGAGTACTTGGATTGAAGAACAGAGAGCAGATATTCAGACCGACGGACAAGGTGCACTGCACCTGGTGCTTTGAGCTTGTCGTTTGCCTTGTTTCGCTCCTCCTTCTTGCCAACTCTATGCTCTTCCAAGAACAGCTTGTCCTGCATGTCGAGTTCAGGATCATCACGAATTTGCACCCACGCTCCAAATCCATGCTTGTCAATGCCAACTAGAAGCATTGCATCCTCTCTGGCTCCCCAGGCGCATGTGTAGTTAGCACCCTTGGTGGCATCTGGAAGACGATAGGTTTTCCAGTCTGACTGGCTGCGGATGGCCTTTCGCAGAAGCTGCAATTGCTTGGGTCGCTCGATTGCTGTCTCGGCATTGACCTTTTTCAATTCACCAAAGTCGATAAGAACAGCTTTGCGATCCTTCTTCGTCAGACTCTTTCCCGTCTTCTTTTCTTCTTCCACAAGCTTCACGTTGTTGTCGTCCACAGCCCGCTGAGCGGCTGTAATGAAGTCGTCCAGCACAGACTTGACAAATTCATGGTCTCTCTCCACAAGCTTGGCTTCCTGAATAATATCGGCTTCGCGATCATTCATGGATCCAAACCGGAAGTATGCTTTGATCAGATTTCGCTGCTCCTTGTCGGACAATGGCCGTTTGGGGTCTGCTAAGAGAGCTCGCTGTTCTTCCTCTTCTTGCTGTTGCTCCCGCTGGCGTTTCTTGAGGCGATCAGCACGATCATTCTCCTTGTTGCGGTTCTTAATTGTAGCTCTGCGAGGTGCATTTTCCGCCGCCAACTTGGCAACATACTCTTCATTCTGGCGTTTCTCCTCGTCCGCCTTGATCTCTGCCAGTTTATCAGCAGGAATAATCTGGTCCCAGTCCAAATTGATGTCGTCCACTTTCACATCAGTAATTTGCATGAAGTTGTCCCAGTCAATGCCACCGCTGCTAAGGTTCATCTTGTCGTCAACCTTCGTCTTGGTAACTTCTGCATTTTCTAGGATTGAGTCGATATCCAGTTGCTCAAGGCGCTCTTGGTTACCACTTTGTTCGAACATCTTGGACGACCTCATCTTCAGGACCATTTGGATGTCTTCAGACGATGAAGGGCCGTCTGTCTTGAGACCCTTCTTATTCAGCCTCTCCTTGAATGCTGCTTTGCCATCGTCAGTGACGCCCGCCTGAATGGTCAAGTACTCCAGCAAAAGTTTATTCCTAGCGCGTTCAAGCACTTCCTCCTCCACCGTCTCTTTGGACACAAGACGGTAGATGTTGACAGGACGTTTCTGGCCGATACGATGAGCTCGAGCCATGGCCTGCAAATCAGCCTGAGGGTTCCAATCAGAGTCAAAGATGATGACGGTGTCGGCGGTCATCAGATTAATGCCCAGTCCACCGGCACGGGTCGACAGCAAGAAGCAGAAGTCTTCACTATCATCAGCATTGAAATGATTGATGGCCATGCGACGTGGCCCAGCAGCGATGGTACCATCCAGACGCTGGAATTTGTACCCTCGCAAGGACAGGTAATCTCCCAGAATATCAAGCATTTTGACCATTTGACTAAAAATGAGGACCCGGTGACCATCCTTCTTGAGCTTTGACAGAAGCTGATCGAGAAGCATCATTTTCCCGCTGCTGGTGATCAGGCCTTTGATCTGGTCCTCACGACGAACACTACCAGCCAACACACGTTCTTCGGCGCCAGGGAACATGTATGGGTGGTTGCTGATTTTCTTGAGCTCCATCATGATATTCAGCAAAGAATTTTTGTGGCCACCGGTTGCATCGCACAAGGCAGAATAATTCCTCGTCAAGATGTTTTTGTAATAGTCTAACTGAACATCAGACAACTCGACGCGAATGATCTTTTCCGTCTTCGGTGGCAAGTCGGACTCTACTGTTTCTTTGGTTCTTCGTAAAATATAAGGTGCGATAGACTTGTGCAGTTCTTCTAGCTTCTCTTGTGCGTCGACTGCGGATAGAGAGTCCAAATCTTCGTCAATATTGACCTTTCCGGGGTTCAAGAAATCCAACAAGGCCGACAACTCGGCTAGATTGTTCTGGATTGGAGTGCCAGTAATGAGAATCTTGCAAGGAACCCCGAAGCCCACGAGTCTCGCGTACAGCTGTGACTCTCGATTCTTCAGACGATGGGCCTCATCAACGGCCAGAGTCTGCCACTTAATTGTTTGCAAGAACTGCCAGTCTTGTAGGATAAATTCATATGATGTGACAAGGACATTGAACTTTGGCTTCTTGGGATTCCCATCCACGATCAACTCATTCTCACGAATGATATTGCGGGCATCCTCAGGCCCGAGATAGACGACATAGTTGATGTCGGGAGCCCAGTGATTAAATGTATCACACCAGGCGGGAATGACACTGAGAGGGGCCACCACAAGTGATGGGCCCTCCTGTCGACGGTCATTTCGAAGCCAGCTGAGGAACGAAACAGTCTGAACAGTCTTGCCAAGTCCCATTTCATCGGCCAAGATGACATTATTGCCTCTTGTCCAGTTGAGGCACAAAAAGTTGAGACCCTTCAGCTGAAATGAGCGGAGTTCACCACCTTGGATGTAAGACGGTTGGCTGTCAAGCTTGATCATCCTGCCTCGGGTATCAGGGTTTGTTTCGCGCCGGTCAGACTGCCATGACCGTGATGATCGATCAAGGTACTGGTCGATTTTGTCTTGAAACTCGGGACTTATTTCTGATGCCAATTCCCAAGTACACTCCTCATATGTGAGTCCCTTCCACTTGACATAGTATTCGGTGTCGTCTTCCCCGTCGCGAACATTGACCACTCGCTCAACTTTGGTGTAGTCTTCGAAGGCATCCTCATCTCGTTCTCTGTCCAAGAAGAACTGCTCCTTTGTCTCGGGAGGGATGTCATCTCCAAACCGTATATCCAGCTCCTGTTCAACGACTTTTCGGAAATAGTTTTCGACCTTGCGAAAACCGCGCATGTTACGCAACGACTCAATGGTTTCCCAAGTGTCATGCAAATGAGACTTGCCCTGCCACTTGATGAAATATTCAAAGTCGTGACGGCCGGCATCGTACTGCAACTCCAGCCCATCTCTGAGCCGGTGACGCACCACTTTTTCGACGTATGGTGAGTCGTCAACGTAATCAGCAACATAGTATGCCGATGCCATGTCCGCCTCGTCTTCATCGTCTTCAAAGTCGCTTTCCTCGTACATGCCCTGCTGGACTTGCTGAGCAGCGCGGCGGCTTGACCATCTCTTCTCGGCAAGTGCGAGAGCAGGCTGTGACTCTCTCTGTAATCTCGCCTTTTTCAGCTGGCTCTTTGCTCGGGCTCCGCCGTACGTGTCGGAATCAGAATCAGACTCGTTTGTAGACGGTTGTAAGAGAGGTGTATTCCTCTTGGATGCTGGTGACGTGAGGGTGATGATTAGCATGTTGGGCAGGATGCCTCGATGGCAAAAGATACACTTACAAGGCTGGGATGTGTTGACGCGCCGTCTCTTCGATTGGCGGCGATTCACGGGTTCATCATCCTCCGAGTCGGAGTCATCAGAGTCCACCTAGAAATGTGTGAGTTAAATGCGACACAGTCGAGGGAGTTGTGCCGGGGAGGCATACCATTTTTCTTGTTTCTCTGGCGCGCGTCTAGGTCTTTTGGTCAGCAATTGCAATTAATGCCTCATACACATTGCTCTCTGGCACATACACTTCTCCGGAGCCCATAAAGCTCTGGATTTTCTCGCATATAGTCTTCTTCGGCGACTGTTGTTTTCCGTTTTGATGGGCGGCTAGAGGCGGGTGAGCTCTCGCGGTTTACTTCAGCGTCGCCGTCTTGGGGAGAAGCCACGCTCTCCTGCATGTCAAAGTCGCCATCCTCGGACGCATTGTCTAGACTAGACCCATCATCATCCGAAGAGGCTCGATCTTCGTCGATGTGGTCTGGCGTTTCGTGGGGTTGGGCTTCCGAGGCCGATGGCGATGAGCGGTCCATTGGGCTTTCACGGGCATCGGGGATATCGGTATCGCTCTGACCGACCTCGGCGTCAACTGTAGATGTCATGGCATCGTCCGGCGACAAGTGTCCATTAACAGGACCCATCACAACCGGGGAGCTCATGGTAGCTGCTTTCGCGCGTTGTACTTGCTAAGAGAAGGAAAATGTTAGCAGACATGCTCTGAAGTCTCGTTGCCAGAGGAATGCATTGGGTCGATTTAGGGGAGCTCGCGACACGAAAACATGCCCCTCAGGGTCGTTTATGACCGAAACTGATGGAACAATGGATGCAATCGCATTCACACGTGGGTTGGTGATGGCGAGGCTGGCGGACACGGACGAGGCGATTGCAGAGCGAAGCGGCCAGTGGAGACAGCATAGAAGGCTCAGCTGCATCCGGATCATCGATAAACATCGTGTTCATCACTTTGGAACATTGGACATGGCATATCCAAGCCCAGAGAGCGTTGATATCGACGTAGCGATGTTCAAGACGATGGCGAACCGGCAACATGCGGCTGGGAAACAGAGAGTGGCACGGGCGGCCAAGGGACGAGGCAGGGACAACTTACAAGTCATTCATGGATGTTATGGCGGTCACGTAGTTGTCAGCATCAGAAATGAATGCCGGATTCCTATAAAGAAGCCCGGGTTGTGCTGAGAAGCAGACGGCAGACTGGGGGCACTGGTGTTGGAAGGGGACTGACGGTGGGAATATCAGTTATAAAAAAGCACCAGTGGAGAGAGTCAGGAAAGAGTTGGAGAGGCACTCGCGCTCGGCCGCCTTTGTACCCAGACCAAACTTGTGTTGGGCCCTGCAGCGACGGGGCTAGGTGGGCGGTACTTTGCCACGTGACTCGAGGCCGGCCAAGATGGCGGGGGCGGGCAGTGGAATAGATGTACCGCGACCATGGCACGACAGCCCCAAAGTTCAGGGCTTTTGGTGCTATGGGCCGACACTGAGGTCTGGTCCGTTAATGTTGGCTCGCTAAAGTACCAGCACCCTGGCGTCAATTGAACTGAGTTGCTGCTAGTTGAGCCTCCAGATGTCCATCCTGGATCCATCAATGGGTTGACTGGTAGCCTCAGCCACCGACATCCGGAGCCAATGCTTAGTTAACCTGGTGTGTTCTTGTACCAATATAAGTCGATGCCAACTTTGGGCTACTAGAAGGGCTTTACTGAAACTAGGTAGGTTTCTGCTGCAAGATTTGCTGGGCAGAGTGATTGATGGCTTTGAGTTGACTCTGAACAAGACATGGCGCCATTCAACTTTAAATGTTCCAAGGTTTAGCCATACAGCTACTATGTGGTCAGTAATCCGGCGTGCTTTTTTGCGCCAACATGAGCAAATACTACATATTCACTTCGCCATCGCTTTGCAAGGTATCGGCCGAGGGTCCCATTCGCTGTATCATTGCAGCAAATTGATCATCGTGCATGTTGAATTGTATTTCCGAAGCACAATCACCGAGCCCCGTTTCCCTGTATGGCTTGGTCATGTGAGTGCTCATAGCCAATTTTTTCATGTTCAAATGTTGGCAAACATTATTATTGTACGTACTTAGATGTAGCTACGGGATCTTCCCTCCATACCTACCCAATGTACGGAGTACTCATGCAAGTAACCGGTGCCACCAAACCGCAACGATCCAACCACTGACACTTGGCAGTAATTACCCCCAGCTCCAGAGTCGGCCATTACTCGACGCGATGTACCTGGTGCGGGAAATTTGCAGATGCGTCAATGGTCAACCACTTGCGAGGTGTACGGGCCAGATGGGTGAGAGCTGTGATGAACCAACAGTGCCACCTGATACGTATCACTGCAGGTCGAGCCGGTTCTTTCTGGCATCTTGAAGCCCATTGTGACAGACGATGATTTGCAGAAGTGCCTCCAAGGCTGCTGCTCATCACAGCCTAGGGAACAAATCCGAGTTGCGTCCCAGAAGAAAGTAGACTGGGTCATGAATTACTGCTTGTTATTCCTATACGTGCATTCCGGGTATTATTCAAATCATTCATCTAGAATCGGGCTCAAGCAGGGTATCAATCCGTTCACTGCATTATCCAAGTCTGCCCAACAAATGCCTCCCAAAACCAAACCCGCAAACGCCAGAAACCATGGTACCGAACCAAGCAACACGCTCAAGTTACTCCATCGCCGAAATCCGTCTCGCAATCGACTCACTCCTTCTCTTGGCTACCGTAGCAGCATCCCAGGTCCCCGCGAATATGTCCTCACACTCTTCATCGTCATCCGAATCAAACACAATCTCATCGCTGCTCCGCCCGTCAACATCGCGACCTTCCCGTCCAATGAACCCCAGATCTTGAACATTATAATCCTCCCAGCTCCGGTGTGACATGACTCGTTCCGTCTCAAGGATATATTTTCCCACCTTGTATTTTTGCGACGGCTCTGTAGCATCAACATACTTCCATCCCAGCTTGCGTGTACATGTCGCACAACAAATATCCGCAACAACGTGCCACCCGGTAACGAGCTGCCTGTCCTCACTTCTTCCAATACGAATATTCAAAAGAGTCGTGTTGTCAGCCGGCGGGGGTGGCGGCGCGACCAGGAAGGCCCGTCCATAGCGGCCGGTAAAGCCTTTCGAGATGATTTGCGATGTGAGGGCCAGATCCGTCGAGCAGGTCATGCAGCGAAGGGTATCTGGGGCGCTGCGCGATAAGCAACGCTCCGAAGTTGGGGGTTTGGCGGCCGGGCCATGTGCCGGCGGGCTGTTGGAGGGTGTTGTCAGTGTCGACGAGACCGCCGAGCCTGCTGGACTTGATGAAGCCGTCGACGACGAACCAAGCGTCGACCGCCGTCGGTGAAAGGTGAAGTTCAAACTTGGCAGCAAGAAACTTGGGAAGACCGGCCGTGTTGCTGAGATGCTGGTAGTGCTGCGTCTCCGGGCCATTTCGACGTGAACCACTTGCCGACAAGGGTGTGGTGCTGTTTTGGATGTCAATCTGTGAAGCACAGCGTCCAATAATGCAACCGGTCAGAGACGCACAGGGCCTGTCGGGCACGAATTCGTCAAGGACGCTGCATTTCTCTCAGAAACCAGCGGGCCAACAAGGCAAAGTCCAAAGATAAGAAGAGGCCTGGGATGAGATGGGACATCCGACACCGCTTGGACCGGGACCAACAGCGAACGAATCTCACATGAGCTGGTGACATGACCACCAAGCCAACCCCGCATGCCATACCGTCAACATATCAGCAAGTACCGAGTGCTGGCTGGGTGGCCAAGGCGCTGGCACGTCGGTACATCTGAGTACTTCACGTACATACTCCCTTTCATAAGATATTCCGTACATTTGATACCAGCCATGTCAACTGATCTGACGGCGCTAGACCAGCTTTAGCATCCGTGGTGCTGTGGCCCAAAACTTCCGAAAGTCAAAAACCGAGATGGCCTTCCGTGGATTTAAAGGCTGTGGTAAATGTGCGAACCAGTTCCCTCGTACCTTCTACTGCATAAAAAAACTGGCATGAAATGCTCCCATTTGCTGTGCCCGTCCATCAACATCAGTTCCTTGATTGAGCGGGTCTTGGCAAGGACTTCCTGGGGCATGAGCCGGGGCTCTTCGGCATCTGGTCGGCGCCATGGCCGGGATATTTGCGCCACTAGCTCAGTGTCCCAGCTCCGTCATGTTTACGACGAGTTTCACACACCCAGACCACACAAACACGGCAGCATGATAGTTATATATTCGGTCATTATGGCCATATGCTAATTATCTGGTATACTATACAGCTCACTTAAATTTGTCCTTATCCAATCCTTCTCCACCTACGTTTGGGGCTCCTCCGCAACGTAGTGCAGGTACGCCCCGAGGAGCTTGATGCCCTCAATGTAGTTTCGTTTGTCCAGCTTCTCGTTGATCGAGTGGGCACCATCGGTTGAGCTTCCCATGGGAAGCAGAAGGACATTCTTGCCGGTAGCCTCCTCGAAGGTTAGAGTAACGGGGATGCTGAGAACCAGGTTAGCTTCTTGGATGTATCCGCCATTGCATGGCTTGAATTCTGCTTACCTTCCACCCTCACGCGTGAAGTCAGGCTGAACGCCCCAAACACGTTCGGTAGCCTTGGCAGCGGCGGAGAAGTTCCAGTGCTTGGGCGAGGCAGCCCACCACTTGCCAGTGTGCTGCGCATAGACCTTCATAGTGTTCTTGCTATTCAGCTTGGCAAACTGCTCTTCAACGTACTTGTAGACGCAGTTGTTGGTGGTATCAATGTCCATATTAGGCACAGTTCGGATTGAAAACTTTCCAATGACCTTGGCAGGAATGACCGTCTTAGCCCCAGGGCTAGCGAAAGCACCCTCAACACCGTGGACTGAGAGAGAGGGGTATCTCCAACGCGCCATTAGAGTGTTCTTCTTGTCGTCGTGGATAGTAGTCTTGCTACCTAGCGACTCAAAAATGTTGTCCATGGTGAAAGAAATGCCATCGTAGAGGCCTTCCTCTTCCTTGGTGACAGGGGCAACCTGCTCCATGATTCCAGGGATTTGGATCTTGCCGTTAGTGTCGACAAGGGAGCCCAAGATGCGAACCAGGTCAGTCATGGGCTCCTGAGCAGTGCCGCCAAAAACACCACTGTGAAGATCAGCTCCAGGGCCCGAGACTTCGACGGAATAGTAGTTGCAGCCTCGTAGACCGTACGTCAGGCAAGGCTTCTCAGTGCCAAGCCAGTAGTTGTCGGAAATACAGACAGCATCAGTATCTGCAAAGTATTTCTTGGCTTCAGCCTGGATGAACTCCTCCAAACCCTCTGAGCCGTACTCCTCCATACCCTCAAAGCACATCAGCAGGTTGACGGGGAAGTCGATGCCAGCCTTCTGGTGAGCCTCAATGGCGTTAAGCCAGCCCAGGACAGGTCCCTTGTCGTCAGTAGAGCCACGACCAAACATGCGACCCTTGTCGTCGACGGACAGTTCAAAAGGCTCGGTAGCCCAGCCGTCGCTCTTCTCGGCAGGCTGAACATCGTAGTGGCCATATACAAGGATCGTTCGCTTGTTCTTGTCATTTCCGTAGCGAGCGAGGACAACGGGGGGGAGATCAAGGTGCTCCTTGTGAGGCTGTTTGCCAAGAGGTCGAAGCTCGACCTCAGCTCCCAAGCTCTTCAACTCGCCGGCGAGCCATTCTCCCATACGGACGACATCGGGACGACGAGCATCCTCAGCTGAAATGGAGGGAATGGCAACGGCCTTGCGGAGGCGCTCAATGAAGTGGTTGGCGGAATCATCCACCTGTTTGAAGTAGCTGTCGAGTTGGGGAGCCATCTTTTTAGCTTGATGGATGCGGATAGAGTCTGTAAGGTATGAACGACGACAAGCAATCTTCCCCTGGTATTGCGATTTTAATGAAGAAGACACGAAATTGAGGGGGAGAGATCTTCTATGAGATGCTCGAGGAATATGGCAGAGCGCCGCCTGTAGCAAGACGGTGCGGGGCATCACTCTTTGCTGCACATGCTCCGTATTCCCTGACCCTTTGTAGCAGGTGGGGGAGATGCTAAGCACTGGGAAGGTGGAAGGTGCTTGGGTGCTGCCGCACACTCAAGGTAGGACGCAAACGCAACTGCACTTGCAAAGAGAAGGTGCGGGAGGAACGGTTATCCACGGCAGCCAATGGAAATGTGCTGACTGGTGAAGGGAACTTTTTGCTAGACCAGATCCACTGCAGGCGCTAATAAAAATGGACCCCATAGGGGTACGTACTTCTCGGTAGCACGCGAGATGATTGTCGGATACCGGATGCTGTGTTTATCCGAGAACTTGGCCCCGGCGTTCGGACAGTGTTTGCGTCGCATTTGGCCGAAGCTAGTATTATTAATGGATCGCCTGTCTCCCTGCGCTTCTCCAGCTTTTCTCCTCATCAACCAACTTCAGCCCATATCCCTCTCCCATCATCTGTCGACATATCCATCGTCGGATCGTCAGATTTTCCAACTCTGGCTTCTGGGGAATCGTTTGCACTAATCGACAGCTGGCTGATGCTCACACAGACGACTCGGCGCCATTCGTGACCTTGCCCAGCCGCATCACGCGGATAGTGCATGATCTTCCGCCACCACCCCCTTTGACGAACAACGACGAAGTGGCTCGACAAGCTCAAGACGGAACACCACCCCCATTTCAGTGTCGCGCGCTTGCTTTTTTGCAAGGATATCTAGATATCAGGCTCTTTGGCTAACTCGAGGCGTTGCTGGAGCGGTGGGTGTATTCTCGTGGTTGAATCGGTTGTGAGGTGGAACGTGTGGGCTAGCATATTCCTCAGGCATCTGCCTATTGTACTCCTTATTGTTCAACCCTCTAACCGCTATATTCATTTGTTTTTTTTCCAAGTACAATCAGAATTGACTATTTAATTTTCAACTTATCCTGAATAGCACTCGAGTGCGAGAGAGAAAAAAAATAAAGGAGAGGAATTTCAAGAGAAGGGAAATCACTCAAAAGAAATAACTGCCGTCTCTAGCACAAGAAGAAGAAAAAAGAGAGAAAACAATTCAATTTTGATTTCATTTTTGGGCGAGCGATTGAGCATTTACTGGTACATCGCTTCGCGACGTTCGCCGACGCTACTGACATTGCTGCTGTCTGCATTCCTCGTAACAAAGGATTTGCCCGAGTCAATCAGATCTCAAAATGGCATCATCAGTGTTTTTCAAGTTTAAGTCTCAGAAAGAACCCACCCGAGTGGAATTTGACGGAACAGGTATCTCAGTTTTTGAGTTGAAGCGTGAAATTATCAACAAGAGTGGCCTGGGAGATGGCACAGATTTCGACCTCTTCATATACACCGACGACAACAGTGAAGGTGCGTACTTCCCACTAGGTACCAGGCGACGGCGAAGTTGCAAAGATGCTAACACTTGCTTAGAATACGACGATGACACGACCATCATTCCTAGATCAACAACCGTCATAGCTCGGCGACAGCCAGCTCTGAAACCTGGAGCCGGCAGAGCCGCAAGATATGTTTCAGGCAAGATGCCAGTGACTGCAAAGAATGCAGGCCGCAAAGAGCAGTCATCCAAGGCCTCATCATCAAAGCCGAGTGCCACTGCTATCAGTGAGATGAACAATGCCATGACGGAGGAGGAGAAAATGGCGGCCATGTTTGCGGCCCAGACGGAACAGTGGTCTGCCCAACAGGAAGAAATGTCTCAGTAAGTGCCTGCGTCTCTATATTGACTGAAGTAGCCCAGCTAACAGATCCATAGTCAAGCTCCCGTCTTCAAACCCGGAGCTAAGAAGCCAGCGAATGTCCCTGACCATGATCCTCCCCAGGGATACATCTGCTACCGCTGTGGCAATAAAGGGCATTGGATTCAGCTTTGCCCAACAAACGATGATCCTGATTTTGATAACCGACCCCGTGTAAAGAGGACTACTGGCATCCCCCGATCTTTCCTCCAGAAGGTTGACAAGTCGGTGGTATTGGCCCAGTCAGATGGCGATGAATCTAAACGACCATCTGGCATCATGGTCAATGCCGAGGGAGAATTTGTCATTGCAGAGCCGGACAAGGCATCATGGGAGCAATATCAGGCTAAAGCCAAGTCGTCTACGGCTAACAAAGAAGCTCAAGCCGAAGATCAGGAAGTGCAGGAGAGGGGTCTACAATGTTCGATTGACAAAAAGATGTTCATAGAACCAATGAAGACGCCTTGCTGTAAGAAGACGTTTTGCAATGATTGCATAACCAATGCTCTCATAGAAAGCGACTTCGTCTGCCCTGCATGTCAAACTGAAGGTGTGCTAATCGATGACCTTCAGCCTGATGACGAAATATCAAAGAAGATGCAGGAATACCTCAAGGAAAAGGAGACTGCCAAGAGCCCTCCGCCAGTATCTCCCAAGGGGGATGTTGCTACCCCTGAGAACGGCACTAAGAATGTCGATGCCAAGACTGATGATGAAGAAAAGGGGCCAGAGGGGGAGCCATCGGGGAACGCACAAGAGTCGAAAACAACACAGAAGTCTCCAACTCCTCCGGAAGCCACCGTCAAGTCGTCCACAGTTGCCGCAGAAGGCGAAATGCAGGTTGTCAAGTCCGAGGACAAGCAAGCTGTGGATGAGTCGAATACGCAAGAGGTCAACCTGAAGAAACGGCCAGCAGACGACTTTCTCGAAAACCCAAAAATCCCCAAAGGCCCCAAGGCGATGCAAAACCAACAAAGCAACATGAATGGCATCAACAACATGATGAACGGCATGCCTAACATGGGTATGCCTAATATGATGTTTAACGGCATGGGCATGATGCCTCCAAATATGATGGGCATGCCGAGCATGAACATGAATATGAACATGGGGATGCCGCCCAACATGATGGGCATGCCGATGATGGGCATGCCAAACTTTGGAAACATGGGTGGAGGTTTTGGGATGAACGGCAGCTGGGATATGAGCGGCATGAACGGCATGAACGGCATGAGCGGCATGAGCGGCATGGGTGGCATGGGTGGCATGGGCGGCGGCATGAATGGTATGAATGGTATGAATGCCATGAACGGAATGGGCGGAAATATGGGAAACATGGGCGGCGTGGGTGGTTTCCAAAATGGAGGGCAGAATTTCGGCCAGCAGAACAATCAGGCCGATGAGGATGCCTATTTTCGAAAGCCGGTCAACCCTCATCGCCACCAAAACAAGCAACGCAGGATCAGACCCAGCGACTACCGCGAATTGTGACTTTGACAACAATCTCTCTCTCACGTCTCGTGCCCAGGATGACATGTGCTCGTCCAGGAGGACGGGCCGTCTCTGTAGGTCCGGACCAACTGCATATTATCATCACGGCGGCTGGCGATCTCAACACGAATGCTTGAGCCAGACGAATATTCATGGCTACTGGCTTTTCTTTGTTTTTTCACTTTTTTGGATCGGCGTTGGGACGGGGACTTTTTGCCCTCTTATTTCTTTTCAATGGCGTTGACTTACCAGGCCACCTTGTTTGGCTTGCAGAGCAAAGGGTGGCAGTTTGACGGAAGAATTGGCATTGCTACGGCGTAAATGGATTGGCTCGGTTCAGGAGGAATTCTTCCAGATACCATGACCGCAGGTCTCATCATTATTACTCTTTAGAGAGAAGACAAATTCAAAAAAAAAATTCATTATACACTTTTCCCAATCAAATTCTTTATTCGAGTGAAACCGGTTCTATATATGTGTATCATGACCAATGTGACGCTCCTTGTACGCTTATCATGTACATCATGTCCATCATGACGAAATATGGCCCCATCATCACAACACACCCACGCTACAACAACGCCCGCTTCAACCGCCCAGCATGCATGTCCAAACCGTAAAAGCTTACTCGGGAGGAATATACTGCTTCATCAACAGCTCGCTAAACTTCTCCAACTTTTCCTTGCCTCGCACCTCCTCCACCAACAAGGGCATCTTGACGACGTTGAAATCCTCGGCATACAACTCCTCATACTGGTCCAGGTACTTCTTTTGCATTTTCCTCCTGGCATTGCACTGCTCACACTCGCTCGCCTTTTTGGGAAACAGCAGCTGGTTCACGACGATGCAGTGCGTGTCGATGCCGTAGCTCGACAGCTCCTGGATCATGCGCTCCGTCTCGTAGAGACTCAGGAACTCGGCGATGCAGACGCACACAAAGGTCGTCAGGTCGGCGTCCTTGAACTGCGTGTTTACCTCGGAGATTGTTTCGCGCAGCGACTCGAGCTTCTCCATCATCTCGTTGAGGTTCTGTCCGTTGGGGAGGGCGCCGCCCGAGCCGAGGACGCCGTTGAGCAGGGGCCCGTACTGGGAGGAGAGCTGGGAGACCTTGGCGAGGGCCTTTTCGAGGACCGAGGGGAACTGGAGGAAGCGCAGGGTGTGGCCGGTGGGCGCGGTGTCGAAGATGATGGTTTCGTACGAGAGCGACTTGACTTGTTTGAGGACCTCGGCAAAGGACATGGCTTCGTCGATACCGGGGATCTTTTTTTGGAGACGCAAAGTTAGTTTACAATGTGTTGCGAATGGTGGGATTGTTAAAAAAAAAGGAGAAGAAGAAGAAGAACGTCAAGAAGGAGTGTAACTTGCAGCAAATGCCAAATCCTGCATCATGCCACCGATGCCGCCGCCCATGGCGTTCATGTCTTCCTCGCCCTGGCCGGCCAAGAGATCCTGCATGCTGCCGTTGGGGTCAATCTCCATGGCGCTCAGGTTGTCGAAGCCATTGACCAGACGGGCCTCCTTGCCGAACTTTTGAGAAAACGCATCGGAGAGGTTGTGTGCTGGGTCGGTGGAAATCAGGAGCACTGAGCGGCGGACCTTGGCGAGCTGAATGGCCAGGGAGCACGATGTGGTGGTCTTGCCGACGCCGCCTTTGCCGCCGACAAAGATCCAGCGAAGAGAACGTTGGTCGAGGAGGGACTGGAGCGTGGGCTCGAGAGCGTCGTCGGCGGAGATGATGGCTGACGACATTGTTGTGTGTCGCGGCAAGGGATTGAGCTTGGAATCTGCGAAGGCGCCGCACGGGTGCGGGTGAGGGATTGGACGGTGTCGACTGGATAGGGGACGGGACTGGGAAAGTTGGTTTCTCGCGGTCAAGGCTCCAGGCACTGACGTCTACTTATGTTGATGATGGCGGTTTCTAGAAAGTACTGGGGCCTGAGGGTTGAATGTACATACTAGTAGTACTTGACATGTACATACATATTAGGTCGAGGAGCGAGAGGCGAGGGGCAGGGGGGTGGAGGGGCAGGGCATGACAGAAATAGTCGGGCACTTTGTGACAAGTATTGTGTGGGGCGATGCGTGGCATTTTGGCTGTGAATTTTGTCTGGTCCCCTTTCAGTTCCAACCAAGGTCTCAAGACAAGTCAAGATGAATGTGAATATAGGGTATGGCAGAGTTTGAAATGGAAGCAAAGAGTATTATTTAGATAATAGATATAGCTGCTTCTACTCCGCGGCATAGCCTGACTGGGTCTCACGGAGTAACATGTAAGATCAACATAGCGTATTGTTTACCACCTCTTGAGCGTCATGTATCCATTGAACTTTACGTATTCTCGTTACTACGCATATCCAAGCTAGTCCAGTCACCAGCAACGCGTCCCAAAAAAAAAAAAAGTGCCTACACAACGCGATCAAAAACCCGGACGGCGGTGACGGAACCAACAGTCACACTAGTCGTCATCTGCGCTTCCTTGAATTCGCGAACAATCGTCACAACCTTGCTGCCATGCACCGGTGTCTGCGTTTGCGTCCACTTGTTGCCGTCCTGCACCACCACACTGCGGACCTTGGCCTCATCCTGGCGGGTTTCTTCAAACTCCTCGCCCAGCTTGAATGTAAACTCGGAACTTCCCAGTCCAGCTTTACTCTTCACATGCCACGCATCTCCGCTCCTTTCTATTTCGATCTCCGGAGACGCCGATTTCGCCAGCTGGCGCTTTATCGGGCGGACGCCTAGGTTGGGGTAAGTCAAAGCCTGGAGCTAGAGGATGGCATCTCCCGGGGTCGCGTCTACCTAGCTCTGAGAGGAACTCGTCGAAACCAGTGCTTTTGATTAGCTTGTATTTTCCAGTGAAGACGTCCGTCATCTCGAAGCGTTTTTTTATTGGCACGGTCCTTGGAGACACGATGGATTGTGAGAGGATGATGGCCCCCTGTACTACAGTAGCAAAGAGTTGACGCAGTATCCGTTTCAAGTAGTCGATGAACAACCAGCGATGCTTCACCTGGTATGCAGATGAGACAGATGCGATGCTAGATACACAACATCCAGGTAGATGTTCCTTTTGATGGCCAGAGGTCCATTTATTCAGCCTTCGTGCTTGGTGGTGGTAGTCATGTCGTCATAGCCGTTGACGGGCTTAATCACGGTCGAGACATGCTTTTCCACGCGGCAGCCACAATTGAATGCGGGCGCCAAAGGTCTTCCTTTCTTGGGAATGATATCCGCGTCCAAGCAGCAAGTGGTGAGAGGCATGAGCACGAAATTCCCCCCCTCCCTTCTTTTCTTGGTCACATCCGATGCTCGGAAACCATCACCTCGGTTCTCTTCACAATTCCCCTGTGCTGCTCCCTCAGCAATTCATCGCTGTCGCTCCGCCGATCGGCATGGCCACTCGAATTGTCGCCGTCTGGCTCTGAGCGATAGGCCGCGGCCGAGATCTCCGTCTCATTCCGCCAGTAGCCCGACTCCATGCGCGACAGACCGTGCTGCTCGTTTTGCGAGGGCTGGTTGACGTAGCCTTGTCTGGATTTCGTGCCACCCGTTTTATTTGACGACGCGTCGTGGGTGGACTGGATGTTGAAGACTTTGCGGTAGATGTTGACGAAGAGGGAGCGCATCGGCGGAATGCACGCGGCGATGATGATGCAGAATTGTTCCGTCCTGATTGTCCAAGAGCATTCATTAGCCTGGTGTTTTTGGCCAACGCACGGGGAGGAGAGGACATGTCTTTGACTTTAAAGTCCAAAGGCCATCGCTCTTTCCTTTTAAGGCGCCCACTTACATCATCCAGATGATTAGGTCAACTGTTTCATCTGCATTGGCCCAAAAGTCAATTCCTGTCAGAGCGTCTGTCAAAGCGCAGGGATTTACTCCTTACATGTATAATCGCCTCGGGAGGAGAGCGTCTCGAGTTTCATCGTCTTGATAATGGACGCAATGCCGGCACTTTTGATGTCGGCGTGTCAGTCAGCCTAAAAAAAAATCAACTCCTCCAAATGCCCGGCAGAGGTCACCTACAACGCGCCCAGGCCCATGAAAAACATGAGGCTCATCTTCAGCCGCCACTCCATGTGCAAGTTCCACAACACGCTGACGGGAAACACGGCCAACGCAAAGTCCGAAAAGACGGAGAAGGCTGCAGGCGTGCGAGTCTTGTTAGTCCCGCGACTGAAACAGAGAAGAAGGTTCCGTACAGGCTGTGAAATACCCATAACCCTGTTGCACCTTGGGATCCCAACACTTTCCGACCTCGCTCAGCCTTGGATCCCACAAGGCCGCAGCAGGCGTACACTGCGCAAAGATAAAGGCCACGCAGACGACGCTGATGACGAACAGCATGGCCACCATGATGTAGAGGAACCACATGCGGGAGTGGCCCTTGCCAATGATTTGCCGGATGAAGAGGACAATCGAGATCTTGGCCACGGCGGTGCTCATAATGTGGAATGCCTGACTGACCCAGTCGAGCTTGACCGACTGGATCTTTTCATCTTCAGAGAGGAACTCGAGGTGCCTCCCTGTGCCATATTGCACTTCTGGTGTGGTGACGCCCATGAAGGCGACGGCGAGTATCTGGCAAAGTTATTTCCACCGATGAGCATCCCAAGACGTGCAGGAACAGCGAGAAATGAATCAAGTTTATAGAAACGCGCGACGGGACAACTTACAAACGATATCAAAATAAGCCAGTCATCTGCTCCCAAGCCGCCTCGCTTCTGAAAACGGTTGTATACTCGACCGGTGACGAACAAGGTCGTGATGCCGCATTCTATCCAGCCAACAGCCAGAATAACAAACCCTCTGTCTACATCTTGACGGGCCAAATTCTCGTTCGAGGCCATTGTGCAATTTGCAAGCGCCAACAGGACAATTCTCGGAAAGCGGCAAAGGGGGACCAGATCAAGTATATACTACTCCGTACCAGCCCGATCAACACTTCATCCTGCAGCACCACAGACCCCGAATCGACTCAGGTCAGCTGGAACAAATTAACCATGCATACGGGGTACGTGACCGAAATTTCGGAATATTGTCATGTCCCTGGCACATGGAAAAATTGAAATTATTCTACGGGCATGCAGCCGCATCAACCAACGCGTCCAGGAAGGAAAAGCAAAGGGCAGGAAACAAGGGATGGTTCGGAGCCTTTTCAACATCGGTGCTTACGGAGTACATACAGCCAGATTCAGTCACGTACCATCATTGGTAGTACAAGTTGGCAGAGGCCATCGACATGGGGAGACATACATAACTACATTACTCCGTACACTAGTACCACTACATACATACGCCTTACCAGGGCCTGGCGAAGGATCTTTGCCGTCTTTTTTTACCCGGCCACGTGGGGATGACTCGACCATGACCTGAAGTCGGTACAGGACCGAAATTGCAGTGTCGCTTAGAGAGTATCGTTGCAGATAGCCGCCGCCATATGGGGGCTATGTACGGAGTATGGTGCTTACTAGTACGTATGTAGTTTACTTGATGACTTTGTTTTTTTTTGGGGGGGGGGGGCTATACTTGGAGTGAAACGGAGGGCCTTGGAAAATTTACTCGATGCAAGCTGGGGGCAGAAGCTTACTATCCCGGCAGTAAGACGATGATTGCCACGGATTTTGAGCAGACCAACAACCACCCTCGTGGCCTGTGTTGTACGATGGTCCGTGGTGGCCACGGCAGTGTTGGGAGCAGCTCAATAACCCTCAAGCCCCCCCATCAGCCCCAGCAGAGAATCGAATTGCCCCGTGCCTCCCGTGTTGTGACACTGCATGGTCCAGGCCGTGTCGAGTATGCGCACGGAGTACAGAAGAGCCACCGCGGCAGTACGGAGTAGGCTTCAACAGGAACATCCAAGTCCATGTGTCGATCGATCTCACTAGTCAGAAGAAGCCGGAGCAAGGGAAATACTTTGACCTCCCCTTCCTGGCTGCCTCCTCACCGGTGCGGCGTTTGGAGTTTGGACATGGGGCTGTGGTACGGTCTGTGCGGACAAAGGAGGAGCGGTGTCACGGTTGATTTATGATACGTGACAAGACGATATTGAACGTGTGAATTGTGAACGGCTGGGAAGGAGGGCGCCACGAGATGTGAGGACTCGGAGGTCCTGAGTCGTGTTGCACTGATGATCATTGATTACCCTCATGCCCCGGCCACGGCGTCGCCACGTAATTTTGTACGCTGTACGGAGTATCAAACCATGTCCACAACATACTACGGAGTACTAGTGCAAGAAATAAAGCGTACTTGGTAGCGAGATCTGGAACGTTGAAGAACTGTCCTTTGGCCTGGTCCAAAATGTGCAGTCCCCGACATGGTTTCCGGGCCGTAGATTCGCTTCGACCGAGCCGAACACGCAAGTTTTTATTTTAACCGTGCCGGAATAGAACTCGTAATTGCGCTGCTGGCCGACGAGCTCTTTCGCACCCTTCTTCTTCATTTGCAGAGAGTGATAAGTTGCTCACATCTGTAATCGGGATCTGGGGCACCATGTCCACCCCGAGTTGTTTCTCAACATGAGGTGAACGTGACTCCTGGCTGGCCCGTCTGACCCACAGGGACGGGAAGTTGGTCCACTGGCTTCCACCGGCCTAGTGGGTCCGTACCAATCATGAATGTTTGACATGTGGTGTTTCATTGGACTTTGGACCGTGATGGGACGAGAGACGCGAGCCGGGGTTCCCCGGTCGGCAAGAGCTAGCCGTTGCCAAGAAAAATTGTTAGCGACAGCCGAGGGAGTTCTCCACATTAATTCCCGACAAGAAACTTTTCGAGTTGGGTCAGTTGGCCTCGGGTGTTGGTGTTGTACAGAGCAGACGCGGTTGGTTGTGAAAACAGATCGTCGTTACTCCGTAATGTAGATAAGAAATCGACACCAAAAGAGGAAGAGGCAGACGCAGACTTTTCCCCTCGGTTAGCACTCCGTACTCCGTATTCTGAAGCAATTTGCCACATCGTCATTTGGATGTGGTTCAACAAGCGTTGCTCGTCTCCAATGCACTTGTTGGTTGCCATGGGAATTGGCCATATGCGACCATGGGCCGACCACGACGTAACAAGAGAAGAATTAATTTCGGAGCTCAGGCCTTGGACATTCCATCTGCATCATCTGTCATGCCTGTTCGTACATCGGCCAACCTGGCAGAAATCGGCCATAGTGCGTCACAGGTGTATGCGAGATGCAAATTCTCCTAATTGATGCTGCTGTTTCCGCCTCAGGAGCTGCCATCACTGCTAAAGTAGAGAACGCTGCCGGGCCGCCAAATCGGGGGGAAAGTGCAGCCGCGTTGGCAGGCTCTTGCCGTGTGAGCAGTCAGTTGGCATTATCCAGCAACGAAGAACTGCTGTCCACTTACCTACCTTTGGTAGGTAGGTCGTGTTCGTCGCGTTGGTCCTTTTTACACCTCCTTTTTTTTTTTGCTTTGTTAACTTTGCTTTTGTCCCCTCTCGAAACATCCTGTCCCCTCGTCACTCTCCATCGTGACGTCGACATGTCGGCCGAAAAGCCGGAATCCCTTCCCAAGGACATGACTCCCAATAAGGTCGAGGCCCAAACGGCCATCAGTTCAGACGGCGAATCCCTCCAAGACCATAATGGCTACCTCGTGGACGCGCACTTCGTGAGCCGCAATATCCAGACCACGCCAGACGGGAATACGATACTCATTCCCCAGCCATCCAAGGATCCGAATGACCCGTTGAATTGGACCTGGGGGAAGAAACACCTGTTCCTGTTTATCATTGCAGCGACGTCCCTTTTGCCAGACTATGGAAGTGCCACCGGTGCAGTTACTCTACTGCCGCAATCTGAGTATGTGCGATTCCTATACATGTTGGTTCGCGGTTGATGCGCAGACAAGCTGCTTCTGATGGATAAAAAAGAATTTTTTTAAAAAATAGAAGAAAAAGAAGAAGATAATTATAATAATGGTTGATCTGATGTCATGTGCGAAATAGAATCTGGCACATGGATCCCGATGTCGTCAATCACTCACAAGTCGGCAATGTCTTCATGATTGGCGCCGGTGGCATCGTCGCCATCTGTCTGGGCGCATACTTTGGCAGACTCCCCGTCATGTTCTGGTTCATGATATTGGCACTGGGCACAGCCCTCTGGTGTACTGCGGCCGAGACGTTTGAGTCCTTCATGGCGGCGCGTATCCTCAACGGCTTCTTTTCCCCCGTCGCCGAAGCAGTAAGAGATCCTCCTGCCCTGTCAACCTTTCAGCGTGGACCAAAAAAAATCAAAAAATCAGACAAATAAATAACGTCGGCTAATACCTCGAATTCTCAAAGGGCGGTCTCATGTTCATCAAAGACATGTTCTTCTTCCACGAGCACGCTCGCAAAATCAACATCTGGGCTTCCTTCATCGTCCTCTCGCCCTACTTCGGCCCCCTCTTCTCCGCATTCATCATCGACACGCAGAAATGGCAGTGGGCATTTGGTCTCTACACCATCATGACGGGTATTTGCGTCGCTGCCATCTTTGCTCTTCTCGATGAGACGTACTATGATCGCAAGTTGCCCCCCAGTGAGCAGCCTCAGCGCAGGTCGCGAGTCTTGAGGGTCATTGGAGTCGAGCAGTGGCACACGCGACACTTGAGAAATACCTTCACCGAAGCTATGTCGCGTCCATTTATAGTCCTGGTCAAGTTGCCAGTGTTGATTTCTAACACATACTACCTGTTGGCTTTCGCATGGGTGGTGGGCATCAACACGACCTTGGCGATTTTCTTGACACCGTTGTATAAATTTGGTCCCAAGCAGATAGGTAAGGGCCCCCTTTTCGCAAAAGATCTTCCATGCACACACACGCACGCTTAGCCTGACCCGGACCCAGGTTTCTTCTACTTCACACCCATTGTCGCCGCCATCCTAGGCGAGATAGCTGGCCACTGGCTCCATGACTTGGTCGCCAAATGGTACCAGCGCCGTAATAACGGCCGCCTTGAACCGGAAGCCCGTCTGGCCGTCGTTGGGATTTCCACTCCGTTCCTATGCAGCGGCCTCATCTTGCTGGGGTTCTCCCTCGAACGCGCATACCACTACATGTTGGCCGCGCTCGGCTGGGGCTTATACGTCTTCGGCATCATGATCACGACTGTAGGCGTCAACGCGTATAACCTCGACGCCTATCCGACTGCTTCCGGAGAAGTGGCTGGTTGGCTGAACCTTTCGCGTGTGGCCGGCGGTTTCATTATTAGTTACTTCCAGGTTCGGTGGGCGGAGGATATGGGCGCAATTAAGAGCTTCGGTATCCAGGCGGCCATTTGCTTTGGGGCACTCTTCTTGATTGTTTTTCTGCAGTTGTATGGGAAGCAATTGAGAGAGTGGTCTGGTCAGCCACATTTCAAGACGATATAGATATTTAATATCAAAGGGATGGCCGTGCTGATGAGGCGTTCTTTGTATGGCGTGGTGAAACAGCTGTGGGATTCACTTCCAGTTTCACTCTCATATAAATCGCCTCGAGATTCCCGTGAGTGGTTTACTGCACATTTCAGTTTCTCCGTATCAAAGTGCTAATTTATTTATTCATCTGTGAAGATTTCGTATGCCCCGGCAAAGTACAACCTGCCGAAAGTCCTTGGGTCAGATAAAGACCATGAAACTCGACAGGCGCAAGGCAAAGGAACTGTATAGAAACCCGCGTTCCCGACTTGCTTACAGCGTTGCATTGCAGATCAATTCCACCTCCGGCCCTGGGACAGCTCGGTGCTCACAGAATCGCCGAAACAGCGAGTCCCACTGGCAACCATACATTGAAAGACCTAAGACAAGTCATCTTCTAATGGGTCTTTTGTTCGGATGCTTCGGTGACATGATGCATCTACCGCGATGG